TTTAAGGCCTGCCTCTTACTGCTTTAATAAGGGCAGGTGCCTTAAAGGCTGCTTAAGTAGTAAATAATAAAGTTTAGCAAGGCCTAGGTATTAAAAGTGTTATTATTAAATACTGCTTAAATATTATTTACTATAAGTATATACTAAGCTGCCTAGCTAGGCCTTTTAATAAAAAAAGAGCTATAGGTATTTATAAAAGAATGCATATATATATTAAACCTAATATAATAAAACTGTAAATATTAAGTAAAATAGCTATTATACTATCTTATAGTAAGAGTAAGGTACTGCTAGTAAGTAATAAGGCATATATAAGGCTAGATAAAGTTAGCTTAACCTTTTAAAAAAAGAGTTAAAAATATAAAAGATAATAAAGGCTGTAATTTATTAAACTTACTTAAAAAGGTTAACTAAATATTAAGTATTTATAAGTAAGGCTGCTGCTGCTATAATAATTATAAAGGTATATACTAGAATAGTTAAAAAAGGATTTACTTAAGAGGTGCTTAGGCCTAACCCTCTAGCTTTATATAAAGCTAATTAAGGTTAGCTTAGGCTATAATAAGGTTAGGCATAGCAGCAGTATTAAAATTATTACTATTAGGCAGATCCTTATTAGCTATTACTTTTTTAATATTAACTTTAGCTTAGTAATAGTTTAAGATATTTTAAGAAATATCCTTATTTACTAAAAGCTAGCTAAGCCACTCTTTATTAATTAGAATATCTTTATAGCTAGGATAGTACTTTTTTAAGAATATTAGCTATTATTAAATATAATACTAGTATATATAGAACTGCTTTTTAAATTACTATACTATATATACTTAGTCTATTTTATTAATAGGCTATAAAATAATTATATTAAGGTTTAGAGAAAGTAATAGTAGTTATATATATATGCTTTTAGTATTATATAAGAAACTAATTATATGCCTTTAATATTTATACTATTACTTATAATACTAGAATATTTATATATAAATATAGATATATATAATAAGCATCTCCTTAACCTAGGATAGCTTTAGGAGATAAGTTAGTATGTTTTTAAAATTAAGGTTATTTTTAGTAGAATAAAAGTATAGTTTATTAAGGCAGTAAGTTATATCCTTTTCTTAATAGCAGTAGTAAATGCTGCTTATAAGGCATTAGCTAAACTACCTAGTTTAATATTAAGGGTAAAGCTTTATCTAGTGCTTATTTAATTATGCCTGCTAGGTGCTAATAAAATGCTAGTTAAATAGTATTAAGGCAATAGCGCTAAGGTTACCCTTAAAAGAAATGTCTAGCTTAACTAGCTTTTAAATAATAGCTATAAGCGTTATCTTATAGCCTTAAAAGTATTAAAAAAAAAGCATTTATTATAAAAAAGATATATTTAAATTATACCTGCCTTTAAAAGGAGATAGTTTTAAATAATAGCTATATTAGCTAAGTTAACTAGATTAACTAGGTTAGCTTGCCTTATTATATACTTAGTAAAGAGACTGTTTATTACCTAGTGCTATAAGAAAGTAGAATTATAAATATATTTAATTATAATAAAGATATATTTAATGCCTAGCATTTATATCTTTAAGAGCATTAATATAATAAATATAAGCATTATAAGCAGGATTATAAGTAAATAAAGGCCTAGGAAGCTAGTATAAATAGTAAAAGAAAAAGTTATAATACTTATTATCTTAAATATTAAATTAAGAAGGTTAGGATATAGCTATTAATTAAGAGGTTATTAAGGTTAAAGAGGGAACCTCCTTAATATATTAAGCTATATAATACTTATATTAAATTAACACCTGCTCTTAATATATATCTTATTTTTAAGAAGTGTTATTAAGGTTTATGCCTTAATAAAAGAACTATACTAGGCTATTAATATAAGAAAGTAACCTAGGCATATAAGGAAGTAAGAGACTAGTAAGATTAGTAATATAAAGGGTAATAGGCTGCAGCTATTAAAAGGGGAGAACTTTATACTACTAGGCCTGCTTAAGTAACTAGATATTAGAAATAACTTATTTACTTAAGCTAGAGAATAACCTTATAGCTTAAGAGATTTATAGTAAGGTTAGTAATAGCTATAAAAAAGAGGAGTAAAGAATAAATATATTATTTAGTAAATAGCCTTTTATTAGCTTTTTACTATTAGCAGCAGTTTAGGCATTTACTTATAAAAAGGCCTTTAGGCTTTTTTAAATTAATAAATTTATTATTATGCTTAAACTATAAATAGTAAGTACACTTATATATAAGAATATTAAGAGTATTTTTAAAGAGTATAGGACTAGGATCTTTAAGTAGCAGTAATAGAGGAGGTGCTATAGCAGTAAAAGCTATAGCAGTAGCAAGAGCTATTAATAATACTATTAATAATGCTATTAATAATACTATTAATAATACTATAATAAATGCTTAAGAAGGCTAAAGGTTAAAAGTCTTAATTAAGGTAAGATTTAAAAGAAAAATATGTTTATAAATATAATATATATAGGTTGCTACTTAAGCGTTATAAATATATAGTGTAGGTTATATATATTACTAGGCTTATGCAGTTATATAATTAAAATTAGCAATGCTTATTAATTAACTTTTAGAGATATTATTTAAAATATCTGCTTAAGGCATCTTCCCCCTTATTCTAGGCATTTATAAAAGATAAGATTAATATTATTTAAATGCTTAGATAATGCTAATTTATCTAGTACTAATATTATTATAATGCTCTAGACTATATATATATAATTTAATAATTTATAATATTAATAAAGTATATAGATATTAAAGGATCTTAGGACTTTATAATTATAATATTATAATACTAACTTTAACCTTATAAAAACACTATAACTAGGAGTTTTAAATACCTTTAAAAGCAGTTAATAAGGTAAAAATAACTAATTGCTATATAACTTTTTTTTTAACTTCCCTAGCGCTTAAGAAATTATTAATTAAATAACTAAGTAAAGCTAAGAAGTAGTAACTCTTTAGTAATCCCTGCGCTTAGCTGCTTTATAGCTTCGCTTAGGATAATAATGCTGTTTAGCAGCCCTTAGGCATTATTATATAAAGATTATTATAATATCCTCTTAACAGATTTACTAGTAACTACTTAGTAAATCTATTAGTATATAATTATATATATACTTTTATATATATATACTTTTACAGGGCTTATAATTAAGTGGATTTTATTATGTTTTTATTTATTTTTATATATATTATATTAGCAAGATTTAGAAATTATAATAATATTTATAAACATCCACACACATACATTTTATATAGGAAATTATTAAATCGCAACTAAAATATTATTATAGGTAGATTATTATTAAGGCTAGGGTTTGTTATAACTAAGGTTTACTATAGTATATATAAAGTACAGAGCTTTTAGATGCTATAGTAAACCTTAGTTATAATAATGCTGTTTAGCAGCTCTTAAGCATTATTATATAAAGATTATTATAATATCCTCTTAGCAGATTTACTAGTAAATCCCTAGTAAATCTATTAGTGCATAAATATATATACACTTTTAAGTGTGTATGTTTTAACAGGGCCTATAATTAAGTGGATTTTATTATGTTTTTATTTATATTTATATATATTACCTTAGCGAGATCTAGAAATCATAATAATATTAGCAAACATCTACACACACACATTTTGTATAGGAAAACGTCAAATCGCGACTGAAAAATCGTTATAGACAGATTATCGTTAAGGCTGGGGTTCGTTATAACCAAGGTTTACTGTATCACGAGGCCGTCCTAGGACAGAATGCCAGTCCTTGTCGGACCTCAGTGCAATACATAGTCATAGCAGTTCTGCCCCAATCAGACTGCTACATAGCGATTCTCTAAGCTTCTCGGCTCCGCTGCTGTGTAAGTAGCTCAAGCAACATCCGGGAGGATCAAGTGCCGCCTTATCCGAGTTGCCGACAAGCCGAATCAGGTACAGGTCTGATATCCCGTCGTCAGCTCATAACCCAATTCTTGATCGAAGATCGATTCTATGTTCCTGGATCAAGTTCGCGTTGCCCATCAGCGTCGCGCTTCTACATGGAAAATTGTGCCCGGCAGCCAGCCCAATCCGCTTCTTTTTCATCACGACGTAGCGTAACCTTCCAACATCGCACCTCATCACGACTCTCCTTCCCCACGTCAATCCGGAACACCGTGCTAACCGACCCAAATCATCAATGAACCATGTCTAACGCGCAGATTACTTTTCCCTTGCGTCCTCACCCAAAAGTGGCAACCCCGTTTCAGAAAGATCGGTAAATAGTAAAAGGCCATTGAAAAGGCAATGGCAGGGCACATAGCATGGCAATAGTGTATATATATTCCCAGTAGAACATCGCTCTGCCCAAAAGTTGTAACGTCTCATATCGCCATTTGCAATGGGGGCACACGTCTTTTATGTATCACCTTGGAGGATCCCAGTTCTTGACTCTGCTTTTTTTAAACAGCCAATGGAGGAGGCGCAGCAGCCTTTTGGCTAAATGGGACGGCAGCGCGCCACGCGACTCTGCGTCGGAGTTTGCATACATTCGTCCACGATGACGCAAGTGAGATCCGATTTGTGAGCAAAAGGCCCGGTTCAAGCTGCGATCTGTGGCTACAAATGTGACTTTAGCCCCTGGTGGAATCCGTGTTCCGTGGTGGTGAAGCCCGACATGGTCTCTGGAGATATAAATATCATGGTTCGTTTCCTGCGGTAGGATCAATGCCCTATTCTTAGTCTCCCACCCTACCTCGTGTTGTTTGCAAGGCTCAAATTTGTGAGCACGATCGCAAATGTCGCTCGCTGCTTCGACTTCTCCATAATACCATCTTTTTGCGCAGACTCACACTCGTTTCAAATGCGAAATAAGCCCAGCATAGAGAGCCAGTAATACGAAGTACCCGAGCTTCACCTACGATACAAAACTGTCTAGCCGACCCATTATTGTTCCCGCTACAAAACTATCACAGCGCATTGGCTCATTCATCATGATAATCAACAAACTTGCATTGTCGTTTTTAATTTGTGCTCGCGCCGCCTTAGGTGCTGATCTCCAAGCGATTCAGATCAAAGTACGTTCTAAAGACATTCCATCGCCACGAGACACATGTGACAAGTAAAGACCGGCTATCTTGTCCAAGAATCTGTTCTAACGTCTCATCCCGCATGTGTAGGGCTCCAAATTTTTCTACGAGAATGGGACTCAGTTTTTCTTGAAAGGAATCGCGTACCAGCAGGATTCCTCTGCCAATGGAGAGACCACTACCAACACGACGTTTATCGATCCGCTGGCCGATGAAGCAAACTGCAAGCGTGATATCCCTCTGCTAACTGAGCTGGGAACCAACGTGATCCGTACGTATGCGATCGATCCGACTGCCGACCACTCCGCTTGCATGGAGCTGCTTAACGATGCGGGCATATATGTGATTTCCGATCTTGGCAATCCGGGGCAGTCTATCAACCGTGAAAACCCTCAGTGGAATGTGGATCTCTTCACCCATTTTCAGCAAGTCGTTGACTCCTTCGCCAATTACACGAATGTCATCGGCTTCTTTGTTGGCAATGAGGTCACCAACAACGCTACCACGACCTCGGCTTCCGCATACGTCAAGGCTGCTGTACGAGATGTGAAGCAGTATATCAAGGACAAGAAATACCGTGCCATGTACGTAGGCTACGCTGCCGATGATGATGCGGACATCAGAGACCAAATCGCCGCCTACTTCAACTGTGGACCTGCGGAAGACTCTGTCGATTTCTTTGGATACAACGTCTACGAGTGGTGCGGCGAGAAAACGTTTGAGAGCTCTGGCTACAATCGAATTCTGAGCTTCTTCCAAGACTATTCGGTACCGGTGTTCTTTGCTGAATATGGCTGCAACCAACCCAACGGCGCAGCCGGCCGTATATTTCAAGAAACCGGCGCATTATACGTACGAAACATGACGGAAGTCCTTAGCGGCGGCATCGTTTATGAATACTTCGAGGAAGAAAATGACTATGGTAAGCTATTTCACTTCGTCACCTCTCTCAAGACCCCCTCTTCAATCATGTCGATGAGTCGGTGAGGCTGACGGCAACCATTTGCAAAGGCCTTGTCAAGGTCAGTGGCGACACCGCGACCAAGCTCAAGGACTTCAACGCGCTCCAACAGCAGATCGAGGCCGCCAATCCTCAAGGCGTTGAGATGTCCAGCTATAGCCCTTCCAACAAGGCCGCCAGTTGCCCAGCAGTCAATTCAACTTGGCAATCCAGCGACAAACTTCCGCCAACTCCCGACTCGGACGCCTGCAGCTGCATGGTCAAAGCTTCTGAGTGTGTCGTCTCTAGCAGCACGGATCCCGATGACTACGGAAGCATATTCGACTACGTCTGCGGATCCGACCAATCTTTGTGCAACGGCATCAATGGCAATACCTCCACCGGCGACTACGGCGCATTTAGCATGTGCAGCGATTCGGATAAGTTGACCTACGTCCTAAATCAGTACTACCAGAAACAGAACAAAGACAGCACCGCTTGTGACTTCAACAGCAGTGCTCAGACGCAGACTGCTTCGGGAACTGTGAACAAGTGCAGTGCACTGGCTGCCTCAAGCTCGGACAACTCTACGAGCTCGGACAATTCCACCGGTTCAGGCAGTGATGATGATGATAGCATGGGAGCTCTAGGGGCCCTTATCCCCGGCAGTTGGCAGCTTGGAGGCATCACGTTTGTCACCCTTCTCGTCAGCGCCGGCATTGTGGGCCTGTAGGTGTAGTTGACAGAAGTCTTGGACTGGGCCGATTCATTTTGACGGCGGTTTGCTTTATCATTCATCCAACTATATGCCCACTTCTTTCGAGCGCTCAAACTGTTCCTAATTCACCTCTAATACCACATGTATGTATTTTTATTGCCGTCTTCTTTTAGCCAACAGCGCTTCGTATGGCACTGGTCATCTTAGCGATAAAGCCCTGAGCCTGAGACTGCTTTTGATGGCTTCATTGGGATATGCCGGCACGTGAGCTGCATGATCAGGCTTATTTGAGAACTTGAGACAACCGTTCCTAGAGAGCTGCGCAGCAAAGCGGTTCATTTATCAGCCTGAAGCGACGGCATCACCTGTAAAAGTAGCACTCTTGTATGTAAACGAGTCCATGCAGCAGCATGTTATAAATACTGGTTCTATGAGACCGCGCTTATTACATCTCAAGGCAGAAGAACGGAGATCTCGTCGGTATCGGCGATTTAATTCGGACAGCTTGAGATTGTCTGGAGGCGGGGTTTGTCCGTTATCGGCAGTTGATCCATTAGTGCCCGCGTTATAAGATGTCGCTCTGGGGAGCGTTAATATTCAGGCTTCTCTTGGTGAATTGATCTGTCGTGCATGCACTGTCATTGGAAAGGCCAGCGTTGAAACGAATCCGCTCATCAGATTTGACTTGTCACCAGTCTTTCTAAAGCCATCGCCGTACCGCGTCGGGATCAACTGCCATCATGCCCGTTTACCATGTGGGTATGTTTACATTTTGGGGGAGCAAACAGTAATAGATCGAGAGCCTTTTAACTAACTATGATATATGAAGTTCTCTTTAAGCTCAAGCCGGACGTCACCGCCGAGCAGGTCGACAAGTGGCGAGACTTGATCCTGGCGATGAAAGGACAGGTTCCGGGTGCGTAGTTGTACCCTAATCGTGATTCATCTTGTTAAGGCGATTTGCGCAGGCCTCCTCAAAATTTCTTTCGGAAAACCGCTGCCAATTACTGCCCAACGCGCTCAGGGCTTCAATGTGGGCCTCGTTGCTATACTGGACAAAGTTGACACTGTTCCCATTTATGCTCAGCATGCCGCGCATCAACCGTGAGGCTACCCTGTTTCTAGAAGTCCGATCGAAGCTGACTTGGTTTGCTAGAGTGATACAAATGAAGGAAGAGTTGTGCACCGACTCGCTGGCTTACGATATGGAATTTGAGGACTAGACTGCTGCAACTATCTGAAGGCTCGACGTTGTTCAAATTGGCGCATCTCTATTCTTCGCAGGGCTGAGAAGCTCTTCAGCTCTCCTTCCATGTGACTTTGTGCTCCCTGATAGTCATGACGAATATGTATGTGTAGATGCAGCTCCCTGATGAGGTTTGACTAAGTGAGCAAAACAGCTTGTTTAAGTCGTACATACAAATAATGGCCCGTAGGGTAAGTGGAGTGAATGTAAAACGGAACGCCATCATCTGTTGAAGTTCTCTACCCCATGAAGATTATTGTTTAATACCAGAATCCTCAGCCAGAATCGCTGAACCGATTATAGGAAAAGCCTAAGTCGAATTCCCATATACACATTTTATATGCGCCAATGCATCTCGGTATAGCAGGTATGAGTATTTGTTATGCAAAAAATGCAAGAGATCAGAACCGCCTTGTCTATTTGTCAATGGGTTGCAGACCAAGCACTCTAGACTCACGCAGAACCGAATCTCGTCTTCGTCGAAGCCATTATTGCCCACTTTCTTAACGGTGAATCGATGGCAACCGGCAAACTCCCTCCGACTGTCTCCGAAGACAACATCAACCCTACTTCCTGTGGGTGCGGCGGTATGGCTTCCGGACAGCTCAATATCCGCGATTTGGAATGTGTCCCATAAAGTAGTAGCCTTGGGGGGAAGCTGAGTGTCTGACAGCTGCTCAGAACGCCATATGTGTTTCTGACCTGCTGCCGGTACCAATTCTGCATCCATTGTTTCATTAGACCATTGGTTATAAGCAATCAAAGGATAGCCAATAACTCACGGCTATAGGATACTTTCACTATGCTGAAAAGAGAGAGAGCTATGCTTTCGGGTAGGAAAACTGGTCCCGCAAAGAACCCTTTCAGGAATGCAGATAGTACATCCTCTTCCGACGGTGTGTCATATTTAGAGCACAAGGCCAAGATAGTAGAATGGGAGTCTCCCTTAGTAACATGGTTCCGTGGATTCACCAGCGTTCGCATCGTATGCGAATTGTTGAATGAGTCCGATGGCTTGAGACTCGACTGAATCTGCCCTGGGTCTGTCCGGCGAAGGCGATTGCGCACTTTTAGGGCATATGTCCCGCCAACGCTAGCGAGGACAAGGGCCGTTCCTAATGAGATCGTCTGGGGCGTCAGAACCTCCGATAGTATACTTCGCATAGGGCTGAACATTTTGGAAAGTGCCCGGTTTCTCCGGTGCTATGACCAGGTTCGATATTCGTGTGGGCGAGCTGAATGCTTAAATACCGACGAAAATCGCGGACTTGAGGCTCACCGAGACTCCGTGCGGCGAACCGAGACTATCCGCAGATCGAAAATAGCTCATATCTCCTCCTCTGTGTGGCCGTTTCCTTGAAAGGATTTGAACTACTAACAGCCTGACTCATTCTGGCAGGCATCATGACCAGCAATGACAATGACGCCGTTGGGTGCTAGACGGGCACTTATCTCTATATGACAACTACACTTCGCGCATAGACTAATAGCTGTTTGATGCATAACGCGACGAAGAGAGAAATACAGACTTCAGGATGGTTACGAGCAGGACATTCAACCAACTGGCAGAGCCGCCCTGTGTTATCAATATGAGTGGTGGTGAAATAAAGGCGCTGTTGTTTGCTGACAGCGTTTGTTGGATCTTACCAACTCGGTAAGTGCAAAGTAAGCTCAACTAGGTACTGTAGCAGTGGAGATGCTAGGCTATATCCCCGACTGACGAATAGGTGCTTCGGAATGCAAATTGCAGGTATAATTGCGCCCGCCTAGCTTCTCAATTATCCATTCTGACGGTGCGTACGGTAATCTAGGACTGAGAGCCATGGGAAGCTTTCGGCGTCCTCGTGAAGTAGAAGCGTCGCCGTCCGTGGACTGGGCGGATAGGCGTTGGCGAGACTTGTCTCCTGGAGAAACAAACACAAGGCAATATAAATCCATTTATTTATTCTTTTGGCAGTCTTGATGAACTTAACTCGCTGGCGTGCATTTGCAAGGCCTTTTTGGGTTACAACTGTGACATCAACTGCTATTTGTAATAGAGGCGTATCTGCTTATTGGATTTTAGTCAGACATGGCGCATAGCGCCAGCTGCGCAGCTTACTCGTTTCGCGTTATCGAGGGTTAAAACCTTGAGATTACCCATAAAGTCTTCCCCTCTTTCAGATCAATAACATCTACAGGAAAAGATAGATACCTCAAGCGTTCGATCGCGGGCCATAACAATGTCTGCCAGCAAGCCCATCCTGATTTCAGGCGGTGGCCTTTGTTCTCTACTACTGGCCCAGTCACTTCGCCGCTCCAACATCCCCTTCAGAATATTCGAGCGCGATGCGTCATTTACCTTTCGTGCCCAAGGATACCGACTGAGGCTGTCGTCAGAGGGGCTTGATGCTATTGAGTCAGTTCTTGAACCTCAGCTGTGGCAAAAGTTCTGGGATAAATGCGGCAAGACGGGAGGCCTCGGTTTCACCGCGCTCGACGCCATCACTGGGGAAGTTACCGAGCATGTGGCTCCTGAAAGCCTGGCTTCGAGGGACGGCAAGGTTGTGGGCATCGCTCGTGGAGACATGCGGAAGCTTTTCGCCGAGGGCTGCGAGGAATACATTGAATGGGCCAAGCACGTAACGGGGTACGAATTAACGGATGACGGTGTGGTTGCTACGTTTGCCGATGGCTCCAAGTCGATTGAGGGTTCCATGCTCGTGGGGGGCGAGGGCATCTACTCCAAAGTCGCGAGGCAGGTGTCAGGCGGACGAATCAAGGTCTTTGATACAGGAGCCAGAGGAATCCATGGCCAGGCCCCTACGACTGCGTTCAAAGGGCTGGGAGAGGGAGTCTTTACCGTGCGAGACAAAACTCGGCCTGATGGTGCCGTGTTCATCATCACGAATGTGCGGCCTGATCAGATGAACGACCCCAATGTTGAGTTCGGATGGACCATGGGCGGCCAGCCAGGCGTCATCCAGGTTCCCAACGACAATTACAGTATTGTAGGCAAACAAGCGGCCGACATCGCAAAGTCGCTCGTACAGAACTGGCATCCTCGCTTCAAGCCACTGTTTGACCAGATGAACGAGTCGGAGGCGGCGTTTTGGAAGATCACCTGTTCCAGCCCATCTGGGGTTCCTGAGTGGCCAAATGAGCCTCGCGTAACAGTCATTGGAGATGCCTGCCACTCAATGACGCCGGCAGGAGGGATTGGAGCGAACACTGCCGTCCAGGACTCTGCGTTGTTAGGAAGGCTGATACGGGAGGCTGGAGGTTATAAACCTGGTGTCACAGCGGCATATGAAAGGGAAATGAGAGTCTATGCGAGCAAGGCTGTTCAACAGAGCTATACCACGGCCGTCAGCTCGTTTGGCGTCAAGATTGACGAAGCAACGAGTGCTACGGTATAGAAATGATGCATATAGCCTTTGTCACGATGCATGTGGGTCATCTCTCAGGTGAGTATTGTATTCAGGGTCCGGGACTTTCCTCCTGAACCCTTCCAATTTGTACGTACTTGGACGCTTTGCTATCTGAGATGCCATAATGGAAGCATCTCCCCTGCTGCGAATAAATCCAGCAAACGTTCCACCTCGATATCAAGAACACGTGGCCATGTTAGCGGTATAGGTATTTTCCTGTTGTTTCCCTTGTTTAGCTACTACCCGAGTCTTTCATTTCTTTTCCAGTCTGTTGAGAACAAAAAAGGTTCAAACCTAGGAGTCTATTGAGGCTTATATTTCAACACAGTCCGTCGCGAATGAATGCTGACTACTTGTATCATCTCACGCGGACGGGAGGATCGGCTGCAGGACTGGGTACGCCGCAAACAACTCTGATGCCTGATTTATTGGCAGTTGGTGACCCAATTGACAATCACTCAGCCTAGGGAATAATACGCTCTAATCTGCGTACTTGGGAAACGGAAACTCGTCGCGCCGCGGAACAAGAAGAAATGAAGTAATTTCCTGTTTTCATAGGAGCTGAGAGTCGTCGTGGCTGGGTGAGTAACGGCACGAAGCTACCTTACTTACATGTTACTTCCTCGAATGTAAGCGTTCTCGGAAAACGCACGGCAATGCCACTTTAAGCGCTTTGCCTGACAACGTGAGGCAAGAGGTGATTTCCTTTAGTGCTATCCTCAGCACTATTCCGGTTATGACGCAAGGAAAAGCAATGTGACTGTTGTGAAGCCGGATGAAACGTGTTCAGGAAGTTCGAGCCCCGACACAAGGAAACCAGCATCTTATTCTACACGCAACATGAATCTTCAGAGCATAGTCTGTTTCGCCGTTCCTTGAAGGTTTCTCGGAGTGTATGGTGCTGCTGCTGCATGAGGCGATGAGCCCAACGAGACCTTTAGATCGCATGAGTTCACTGCCCGAATTGGGCAATAGAACGTCAGCATCTGAAATGGAAAGTTTAATTCGATCGCGACATGTTCGGGTCAGATACTACTATTACGATTACGGGTACGTATACAGCCAGTGACCCAGCGTTTTCCAGTATTCAATAGAATGGCAAAGGTGTGACATACCAAATCAGGCCATATAAGGCCCGGCGTGTCCCAAGATACTTGAATAATCTAGGTTTTACCACTATAGTGCCGTCTTGAAGCAGTTCATCTTCAACACCTTTGACGTGGCATAGTCGGCATCGCAAGCGGATTAGTTGAGTTACCATCAAAGAGATGGGAAGAAACAGACTTGAAAGGCCTACAGTGGCAGTTTGTGGCCTGGGTGAGTTACAAACACTACATCGCTGCATACGCAACTGTTGTCCGAGGCCGGCCGGCCTCCAAGAAGATCGCTGGGCCTCATCAATACTAATGTAAGATACAAAAGGGATCGCTGGTATATCTGCCTGCAAGAACCTGACAGAGGCTGGCTTTGACGTTACGGGATTCGATGCTTCTGATGCCATTGGTGGCCTCTGGCACTACTCCGAAGGCGAACGGACTTCTTGCTTGTACAATACTCGCGCATTGGTCCGCAGGCGTATGGTAAGCGGAGCTCCTAATCACAAGGAGGACACGCCTTACTTACCCTTTGTCTTGATTAGTTTGGCTTTACCGACTTTCCTTACGCCGATAGTACGTCGATTGTAACAAGTCTCACTGTGTGATGCTCCATCATTGCTGATATCTCCATTTTTAGGTGACTCCGACGTGCCGCTCGAACCAGGAGAAATCCAAGAATATCTGGAGTCATATGCCCGTCATTTTGGTCTTGGGCCTCGCCTCCGACTTGAAACAAGAGTGTCAGCCGTCAATAGGGTTGGCAACAAGTGGCACCTGCAGCTGACAAAGTTGGATGGTGAAAGCGAAGAGCAAGCCTTTGATAGATTGGTACTCTGCACTGGTCTTAACCACTCTCCCAAGCAGATTCATTTTGACGGCATCGAAGACTTCAAGGGTCAAGTCTTCAATACTCACACTTACAAAAGGCAAGGCGATCTCTATAAGCTACATTCTCTGGCCGTTTGGTATCTAATATGGGGCCCAGACCGAAAAATCTTGACGGAAAGCGAGTCCTGATCGTCGGGCTTGGAGCCACAGCCACAGACATTGCAAGAGGTCTCGTGGGAATAGCGAAAAGTATTTCCATATCACACCGTAATGGTTGTCTCATGGTTAGATTGACTTGTGTCCCCCTTGGTCCACGGCGACGCTGATATGTATCGCAGCTGCCCTTCGGGAAAGCCAATGATTTCTGCTTCCCTCCTCTTCGCACGCAAAGAGACAATGTAAAAAGGCCCGTCATGGAACAAGCACAGATGTTCCACAAAGCCTTTGTCAAGATGCAAGACGAAGCCTTCAGCATGAAGCCAGAATGGGGCCTGGAAAATCCGCCCCCAATGCCGTACAAGTTGCCTATCATAGGGGATGGGTTTTATGAACACCTCGTCTCCGGCGCTGTTTCTCTAGTTCCTGGTCTGAAGAGAGTCTACGAATCGCATGTGGAGCTATCAGACGGAAGCTCCCTCGAAGTTGACGTTATCATAATCTCCGTTGGCTACACCAAGTCATACTCGTTGTTGGGCCCATGGGATCCTTCCCGGAATATGCCACAAGCATGGAAGGATACCCCCGGTTCGATGGGACGACCTCTCCCGAGGCTTTATCAGGGAATCTTTTCTCTGGACTTCCCAGACTCCCTCGCGTACCTAGAACATGTAGGAGCTACTCTATCCGCTACGATCAACGGAGATTTGGCTTCAATGGCACTGGCACAGGTTTGGGCCGGAAACACAAAGTTACCATCAGATGCAGAAATGGCGAGAAACGCCGACAAACAGAACCAGATGGCAATATCCCTGGCCAGCAAGGGTGAAATTTACGATCCCGCCATGGTGGACAGACCCGAATGGAATCTCTGGGTGGACAAAGCAGCAGGGCTAGGAATTTATGACCGAATTGGCAACGGATGGAAGTCATGGCGACTGATGCTGACTGACTACCGACTCTATAAAGCACTCTTAGATGGCACGTTTGTCCCACAGGTCTACAGGCTCTTTGATGAGGGGAAACGAAAGCCGTGGGCAGGGGCCCGCGAGTCGTTTCTCAGGGCCAATGGAATGAGGTAGGCCAGTGTCGGGAGCATGCTGAGAGATGCATACTGCGATATTACCTCCAGAGAATGCGTCGTCGGATGGCGGACGAGAAGAAATGGAAGGCTGATAAGCATGCAATATAGCCAACCGACATTCAGAATAATGAGTATTGGTGAACTTTGTGAATGTTTAGTCGAACGTGGTTAGACATAACACGGCTTATGTATTATTGGTTGTGAAAGGTCTTGCCAGAATCTCTCCTTTTGTTTTTGTTTTGCCTTCGATGAGCCCACTGTATGAATCGCTTGTCCAGGCAGCTAATGCTGCTCGGAAATTCCGAACCATGCCATCAGCCTCAACTCGCGCATCTTGGTGTTTAGCCTTGTCTCAGAAGCGGAAACTCCGGCGGTATCACGCTGGGTAATGAGTATAAATGGTAGAGTATGAACTGACAGCATTGTCGTCACCACCCTGACCTTCCATTGACCTCTCACATTCCTTTACGAACCATGCCGACTTTCTTACGCAGCTACATTCCCGACAAACCAATGCTTCTAGAGAAAGATATTAATAGCTTGAAAGATAAAGTGAGATCCAACCAAGCTACCCAACGCGATGAGAAATAATGAGCTTACGTCTCCCTTTTTCATGTAGGTCTTCATAATAACTGGAGGAAGTGGAGGCATCGGTCTTGAACTGGCCAAGATCCTATACCACGCAAACGCCTCGAGAATTTATCTTTTATCACGATCCAGACAATCTGGTGATGCAGCAATTGCTGCCATCACGAGCTCTGAGCCTCCCCCCGAGATGGAACGGCGTTCTGCGGCAGCAACGGACGCTGTTCGTTTCATACCACTTGATCTCGGAGATCTCAACAATGTCAAGGAAGCGGCCAAATTATTTTTGCAACTCGAGACACGCCTAGACGTTATATGGCATAACGCTGCCGTGATGCTTGCTCCAGAAGGAAGCGTAAGCAATCAGGGTTACGAACTTACTTTTGCAACCAATGTCTTCGGGCCCTTTTTACTCCAGCATTTCCTTACACCCATCATGCTGCAAACGGCTCGAGGTCCCGCGACCCCCAAAGGTTCCGTTCGCGTCTGCTGGGCTGCCTCTGGAGCGGCTGTGGCGCCTCCAGGGGATGATGGCATAGTCTGGGACAATTGGCAACTGAGCTCTGTCGATTATGGGGGCTTTCAAGGCCGTACTAGTAGATACATGCAAAGCAAGGCGGCGAACGTTATTCTGGCGGCCGAGATGGCAAAGGTGTATCCGGAGATCATCAGCTGTGCGTTCAATCCTGGGGCCATCAAAACGGATATTGCTCGCCACGCACCATGGTTCTTGCGAGTTTTACACATCTTCATGTCTCGACCGGTGCGATTCGGCGCACTGACGGAGCTTTATGCTGGATTCTCAGACGAAGTCGCCAAGAAAAACGGATGCTTCGTTGTCCCCTTTGGTCAGATTGGTTCTACATGCTCAAAAGTCGAGGCCGGAATCTCCGAAAGGAATTCGGGCGAGAGACTTTGGGCCCTGTGCGATGAGCACGTCCGGGAGTATTATTAAAAAGCTCGTGAAAATACTTGTCGTGCAGTTCAACAGCATGTTTACCTACATGACCTGTGTTTTCATTTTTGCCTGGATGGTAGAAACATTTATATTTGTTCAGGTACTTGCAGCTCCGTCTTTCTCGCTTCGTTAGCTTTTCATGTGCACTTCGTACAAGATACCTACGCTACGGTAAGATATCATTGGATAGTGCTCTTCTCTCCTACTATGGTACCTTAGGTAGGCGAGTACCTTCTACTGGGTAGTCTGAGACTTGCGGGGGTTCTGGTTAGTGCCCCGATCGGAATCTCGGTACCTGCTTAAGCTTCCGAGATTCCGCTCTGTTTAACCCCCTTCGTCGAGTATCTGACCGAGGAAACTGAACAGTACCCGATGGCAAATCGTGATCAACTTTCTGCAAGGCAATCCGGCAACAGACGCGTCGTGTCTCTGACTAGGGGTCTCCTACAGAAGTGTTCATGGAGAGAACGGCAGCTTCTCGGAGCGCTCGCGTTGGCGCAGCTTCTGAAGCCGGAAGAACAGGCACACTTCGTCGTTCGTGTGAGTCTTGCCGGAGGTCAAAAATTCGCTGCATCCCTCTGAGAGATGGCAATAGCGCATCCCCATTATGCGAAAGGTGTCATTCGATTCTGTGCTGCCGGCAACGTGCAAAAAATCACTAACGCCTGTCTCAGATGTAACACCTTCGGGACAGCCTGCATATTCGAGCGCGCCATTGCTCGACCCCGACAAGCTAAGCCGGCGGCGTAGGTTGAATACACCTTCTATCTGAAATGCAGTGGGCTAACTCAGTCATGGCAGTAAATCTAGGCGAAGAGTAGTGGAAGAAAAGATCGACGGACTAGTTACCCTGATATCGTCCATATCTCAGCAAGAAGAGATGGGAGAAGTCGGGGGTCCCACGGACGTGACCATTTCTTCCCAATATGCCAATTTGAGCATCCACCGAGATGTAATCGCCAAGGGAATTCTCACGACTGAAGAAGCAAGCCAGCTTTTAACCGATTTTGTAGCTGCCTCGGCAGAGTTTCCAATTGTGCTTCTTCCTTTTGGCACGAATGTCGAGTATTTACGCCTCGAGAGGCCGTGTCTTCTCCTTGCCATTCTCACTGCCTGCGCGCGCGATTGTCTTCAAACAAGACTGGAACTGGAGTTTAGAAAGTCTCTCGCAGAAAACCTCATTCTTAAGGCCGAAAAGAATCTGGATCTGTTGCAGAGCCTGCTGGTGTTTCTAAGCTGGTAAGTCACCAAGTTCCGAGCCACCCTAACTGCCTGAGGTATTGAGCATCTGCCAGGAACCACCTTTACTTCGACTCCGCCAAAGACCAAATGTATCAGTTCGCACAGATCGCAACGACAATGGCTGTAGAGCTCAGGCTTGGCCCGCCTGACCATTCCATACAGGATATGCTAATTCAGCGCCGTGGGATCTTTGAGGGCACCGCACATGACGCAGAATATTATGCCGTAGTTGAGAGAATGCGGGTATATGTTATGTGCTACTATGTTTCCTCTTGGTAAGAATATGACATGCATTGCTTGTTTGCTCCACTAACGTTTCCAACGCAAAGTATCTCTCTAGCAATGAGAAAGCCCACTCACTTCAAGTACATTGGAAACGTTGCAGATAGTTGCGCCCTGTTGCAGCGACTTTCCCCTACCTCAACCAACGGGACTCTATGCTGCTTTGTTCAATTACAAGCACTGGCAGAGGAGGTCGAGCAGCTTTTTCAATACAATAGCGGTCAAATGCCAGAGGCTGTAGGCTATATGCAAGTACAAGCCATGATGACCACGCTCCGGGGCAAGCTTGATCAACTGATTGAAGGACTTCCCCCTCAAGCGCAAACAAACAGTGAGTTTAATCCTCTCTGTTATCTCGCCGATACCTGGCAAGCTGAACTTCAATAGCCTTAATCCAAAGGAAATGCCTCTACCTCCAGGTTTACACACAAGAAGTTGGCCTGCGTTCTCCGCCACAGCATCGAAGTGTTGAGAGCATATCCAGTTTCGCGTGCTGCAATTGGTGCTCGTCGGCACGCCTTGACATCGCCGTCTCATGCGTGAGGGCAGCACAGACTTACATCGATGCGTATGTGTTCTTGCCTGTACAAAACCTTCGTCACACCGTTCTTTTCCAAGAATCAGAACTTCTATATGCTATTCTAGTGCTGGCTACCGCAACACTCGGGGGGGTCACTGTTGGTGATCCCGGGCAATTTCGAGAACTCGCAGACATTCCTGCGTACCTTACGAATCTCCGGGACAAGATGATGTGCATGGGGACGATAACAGATACTGGAGAAGACAGGCGGGACTATTACTGGAAGATGATGCAATTCTTCAAGCATTGCCTAAACTGGATTTCACACTACTCTGGCAATGAGGCGCACTCAATAGGCGATTGTGCGGCTCCTGGTGATGCTAATATGTCGTTTCAAAGGATCCTGGAGAATGTTCCTTCAGAAGAAGTAACGCAAGACAACTCAGCATTCAACGACTTGGATTTGGAATGGATATGGACTGCTCCAGACTTTTAGATTTTGGCTGTATAATCACAAGAACTTCAAGCTTAGTATCCTCGCTACTACATAGCATCAATATTCCAAGGCAGTTGGTGCACTATTTTATACGTAGCGTCTCAGTAAGTGAATGCGGTGATCTGGAACGCTGCATACTTCCCGGGAGATACTGATCGTCATCTATACATGATAAAGAAGATTATCATAAACGGGCTATTTCTGGGCTGAGAGCCACGCAACATCTTGCAACACAGAGGTCAGATCCTGAGCTATCGCTCGCGTAGTGCCACTGCTTGTAACCGCTAAACTGTTGGCTAATGCTTGGTATTCGTATACAGTATCAAGAGTTGGATGGGGGATTTATCATGACTACGGGTTCTATACCACTATTGTAGCTGACACCTTGGCAAGAGTGTTCAAACTTGACATTACCCAACTGTAGAGGCTCCGCGGAGCGTCCGAGGCTGCGCATGAAGCATTTACTTCCATCATCGATTGCCCAACCTAGAAGACCATACCCTTGACTTGTGCAACCTTTGTCAGATTGATGTTTCTGATCATGAGCATCCAGATTATCGCAAGGCCCATGACGCCAGTGCCAGCCGCCAGCATTCGGGTTTGTGAGTAGCCGTACGCTTTCTGAATCGCCAGCCTCACGGCACTTCCAACAGGATAACTAAGCTGCGTATCCAGATCCTCGTAGATGACGTCCAGATCTGGAAGAGCAGATTCTGGCAGGTATCTTTCCAGTGCCTTTTGGAACGTGTTCGTCCAGATTGCGCCGCTGATGGTGGCTCCGAGGGCATCTCCCACAGTTCCAACGACATTCAGTAATGCGAGGGCTGCAGCAATGTGCTGGTGATCGACAGCCGCCAAGATAGCGAGCTGCTCAATAATGATGAAGATGCTGCCTCCGATGGAAATGAAAACCTGGCACATGACAAGGTAGCCGACGCTTTGATCGGGCTTGCGGAAATAGATCATCAGGCCCTGCGCAAAGATGTATAGCGGGACTGCGATGTAAAGCAGCCACTTGAAACGACCGGTACGGCGGATCAGAAAGCCGACAATCAACAAGAGGACTCCCGACACCACATTGAAGGTGTTGTTGACGTATCCGGCTTCTGCTAGACTCAGGTCATTGACGACCTGCAAGAAGGACGTGAAGTAGTTGGCCCAGCAGTAATATGAGATTTGATATGTAGCATCGAGGAGGCATGCGCCAATGACGGTTCGGTCGATCAGGAGATTCCAGGTCAGCAAAGGCGTAGGTGCAAGGAAAGCCTCGTATAGGGTGAAGACAATCAGCATGACGAAGCCGACTACGATCATGGCGATGATGTATCCTGATGCCCAGCCGTTTGGCGCAGAGTCTGCAATGTTGAAAGGCATGAGAAAGACGGTGAGACCGACGGAGAAAAGAAAGACTCCCATAGCTATTCCCATATCGTTAGTTACTGCGCCGCTCCAAATCCTGTCCGTCACTTACCATCAAATTCGACACAGTAATACCAGATGCTTTGCAAAATCGTCCTGTTGCTTGGCTGCTTGCTCAGGAGGCCTTGTCTCTCTGCCTTACGGAGATTTACTTTTAGGATGAAGTACAGAGGAGCAGCCACAATTGGAAAGATAATGGCAAAAACACCAAATCCCCATCGCCAGCTGATGTCGTTATAGAAACCCTCAGAGGCTTTGGCTCCTGCGAACGCCGTAATGATGTATGGAGAGGATGTGAAAGCATACGCCAAGCCTCGGTTCTTCAATTGCGATGCGTCAGCTGTAATGACGTCGACGGCGTAAGTCATGCCTCCGAAGCCAATGCTGTAAAATACCTATTCCAGGTCGTTTGTCAGAACTTGTGTATAACTGCAAACCTTCACAGCGCTTGCCGCGAAGCCAGACGGATCTTACATATGCGGCACAAAAAGTAGCAATGCCATTGCTTGCGGCCATTAGAATGAGGCCCAGAGTAGAAAAGACAGTCATGATGAGGAACCCTTCAGCTCTGCCCCAGACATCCATGATCTTGGACAGAGGCATGTAGGTCGCCGCAGACATTGAGCCGGCCACGACATATATGACGTTCAAAAGCGAATGGGATTCGAAGGCGCTTGTGGCGTAGGGAAGCAAATTCGACAGGATTGTAGATTGGAAGGCATTGACGAAATAGAGCAACCAAATGCTTTTTGAAAGCCGGAAACATTAGCCATATATCCATTGTAGCTGGTATCGAAAAGACTGACTTTAAAAAGATGGCAATGAGTGTCGTTTTCGACCATGTGAGTGTCACTGCCTCAACAGCTTGAACACCGCGTTGGGCTTCCTCGTTTGGAAAGTCAACCTGAGGGCCGCCATTGTCGTCTGTGACAGCTGCAGTATCAGTGGCGAGCACAGCCGTATCCTTGCCGTCCGAGTTCATCGTAACCTCGTGTCGTCGGCTTCGCTGAGGGAGAATGATCATGGAATTCTCCGTGGAAGCGTCCCGGACGAGTTTCAAATGAGACAAAAGCACAATTCGGAGAAAATGGCGCAAGCAGAGACTTGCCCTTATACCAGGTACCAGGATAGCGTTGGACAAGTAAATAGCGCGGTGCTGCGTGTTTGGTATCAGTTCTAGCTAGGCTTCTTACGGATATCGATAGTATTCCTTTATTAATCCCGAAGTCCTCGACAAACTTTTCATGACTCTGTTACCAAACTAATGAGGTCACTAGTAATTCACGTTCTGAATGGCCACGCACCATAAAGGATTCATTACACGGGCCATAGTGAGAAGATCCTAGGAAGCCATGGTCTGAGAACCTTGGTATCTCTAAATTTGTCTTCGAAAATTGTGTTTGCGTTGCAAAGGTTATGCGTATTGTTCCCTAATGGCAAGGGAACCAGTGGCACGCCTTGTAAGTAACTGCTCTGGCAGACATTGCAACCATAACCCCCTATGATAGGGCCCTCTTCTTCTTTCCTTCTTTTGCTCGCTCTGCCGATACGGGGCAGGCGGTTGTATGCTACGTAATTAACGCCAAGGAGCGATAATTTCCTCTTTCTCTTCGTGTCACACATTGCCGTTTCTTGCCGTTCCCATGCTGGCCCGATTATCCGATCATACGATTCGATCGAGTTATTCAATTCACAACAAGGATATGTAGCTTGGCCACGGCTTGGCCAAGCCGAGTGAGCTGAGCAGACCCTGCATCAGAAGGGCGCGGAGGTATGTGGGTATTCCATCAGCTGCTTCGCCTCGGCGCTGTCGAAGGCCCGCACCAGATGTGTAAGAGTTATCAGATCCGAGGCGGTTGGGGCTAAACTGCAAGATGGGTAACTGGTGACTCCTAGGACCCATACTGTGCTCCATACAGTGCATATACAGGGGTCCGCAATCTGGTGGGCTCCGTGGCACAGTAAGCTCGAGGATTGTTTACGGAGTACTCCGTAGATTCACGAAATAAAACTTCTGGCTTAGAATCGCTCAGCAAGGAATTTACGAAGGGGAAAATTGAGACGACTCCAACGACCATGTATCACATGCAGTCTGGAACATTGTTCCAAAGTCTCTCTGTGACGGCTGTTGAAGCAAGTTAGGCCTCATATACTGCTCCTCAGACAGTGAGGCTTCCTTTTTCGCCCTCCCGTATCTCTTGCAACATCGTGGACCATTGATCTCCCAATCAAGTACCGATGCAAAGAGAAGCAGGATTTTTACGAATTGCTCTTCCAGGACCCTTGGAAACGATCGATAGCACCAAAGCTAGGTAGCCTGCAAAGAAGCTAGCGGTATGTATCTCTTCAATAGTCTGAAGGACGGCGTTGATCCGGGGCCAAGCGCGGCGACAGGTGTGGAGGGGTGGGGCATCAGATAAGATACACCTCGCTGCTCCATCTTATCAGATCAATAGTAGCATGGAACCTGGATTCATATTGCCAAAGCGTCGCTCTAAATTAACGTCCAACACCAGTCTCCTACAGCTTTGGGGCTACCCACTTCGGTTGTCGCTTCTCTACAAACGCCCGGATGCCTTCGGCGAAATTGGGGCCGCTGACCAGACGAGGATACCACTCGTTGGCCAGCATCGATACGGCCTCCTCGACGCTACCCACTTCCCAGCTCAGCCGAACGCCTAGACGCCCAACGATCAGGGCATCCGGACTGTTCTTGCACATGTCTTGAGCAACTCGGACTGCGACCTGGGCCACGTCCTCGGCTGAATCCACAAGCTGAGACACAAGTCCCCATTCATGTAGCGTCTTGGCAGTCACATTTCTTCCGGTCAATACGAGATCCAGAGTGCGCTGCAGACCGATGGTCCGTGTAAGCCGCGGCAGGCATCCAGCGACCGGAACTATCCCTCGTTTGATCTCGGAAAGGGCAAAAACAGCCGAGGACGACGCTATTACCATGTCGCAGTTTGCAATCATCTCGAAGCCGCCGCCCATGCATATGCCGTTGACTGCCGCGATGATGGGTTTTTTTCCACTTCGACGTGGAAGCCCGGCGAGGCCGGGTGCTGCCATATCGTTGATCACGCCGTTCCTGTTCATCTCATTCCATTCTGGCAAATATTAGTCTTCCTCTGATCTCTGCTCATACGCGGTGGCTTACCCTGTAGATCGGCTCCAGTACAGAATGCTCGACCATTTCCCGTAATAATACCGACCCATAGGTTCTCGTCTTCGTCAAACTGCTGCCAGATATCTGTTATCTCTTGACTAGTTGTCTTGTCGATGCAGTTGAGTTTGTCTGGTCTATCCAGGGTAATCTGAATGATGTGGTCTTCCGGAAACGAGACCTGGAAGTGCTTGAACCGTAGAGAGCTTGGTTGCAGAGACATGGCGAAATTTCCTTTTCCAGAATGGAAAGAAGCGCCTACCATCAACAAAGACTTGATCAACTCGACCAACATGGATAGCTTTACTCTGGCTTTATATAATCTTCGTATCTCAGGATTGCCCAGTAGAGTCCATGCCCGTTAGGGTGTATGGTGCCGTCAATAGTGTCAAGCCACTGGATGATGCATTTCGGCAACTTATTGTCCGTAGTCATAGTCTGTGTCGTATGTAAATAAGCCGTTGCCCCAATATCCCGTCTGCCGTTGTTGGTATCACTCATACCTTTTCACCTCACGTCTTGCTACTGCAGCTTGACTTGCTGGCCTACCTCTCGCCATATCGCTCTTCAGCTACCACAAGCCATTATCACCAGCCATGCAATTGGCTGCGTCTACAGAGACGATGTATCCCCCTATTAAACTACCGCATCCGTTCCTCACGGCATATCGTGTTAAGTCCGTGGGAGACACCATGCCTGCCAAGCTTATCTTGACGTTGGACGACAAGTCTCCAAAGGGCCAGCCTTTGCCGGAGCCGCTGCATCTTACCACTCTCTCATGGACAGATTTAGCACCCCTACCCAAGAATGAATGCCCGCACCTGTCCGACAACAGTCCATGGGCCCGAACTCGTCGCAGTCCTTCAACTACTTTTGAGTGGACAGATGACAAGGTTCCTTCTTTGGGACAGATCTGGAACGTCGTTCACGCAATATATCTGGCTCATCCAGCTGTTGAATACTTCAGGCTTACTTTGAAAGGCAAGGAGAAGGAACTGGTCCGCAGGGAGCTGGCTGCGACAGGTCTTGGAATTGATCATCCGGGGCCGCGGAATCCCTCTGAAGCGGCGGCTGCATATTCAGAGGAACTAATCATTCTTCGAAGCGCATTCTGGCAAGGCGCAGCATCTCCGACAGGCCCTCGACCTATTTGGATTGCTGGAGCTGGCACAGACGCGTCTTTGAGGATCAGTCTGGCCCAGTATCCACTAATGCCCGAGCATTACCACTTCACGAACAAGTTCCCAAGCGAACCGGTGTACACACGTCACCCAGTACGGCGCCCGAAGCCTGATCCGAAGTCGATTGTCTATAGTCGCTATATCCCCGAAATCGACATGCACTTTTCTCTTGAAACAATCGACTGGCAGGATGACGAGCATTTAAAGCTCTTCAACAAGTGGCAAAACGACCCACGAGTTGCCCAGGGCTGGAATGAGACGGGGACTCTGGAACAGCATCGAGAGTATCTGCGAAGACTTCACTTTGATCCTCACGTCCTGTGTCTATTTGGGCGTTTTGACGAATCCCGCTTTGCTTATTACGAGCTGTACTGGGCTAAAGTAAGTGCCACTCCATTCTGCTTAGATTACCCACAACCAATTCGACACTGGCATATGCCAACCTTCTCCAATCTCTTCTCACACATGGACAGGAGGACCATTATGGCGCCCACTATGATGCCGGGGACTATGATCGTGGGCGACATTCTCTAGTTGGTGACGCTTCATTCCGGGGCGCCCAGCGTGTCAATGCATGGTATTCCAGCTGCATCCACTACTGCTTTTTGGATGATCCACGAACTGGGAATGTCGTTGGAGAGCCCAAAGCAACTGGTGCCACTATCCTATCCTATGAAAACTCCCAAGGCCTCACCATTGGCAAGTATGTTGACTTTGGCCATAAACGATCGGTGCACTCCATATGCAGTCGCGAGAAATGGTTCCAGCTTTGTCCGCTATTCTGGGATGGGCGTGAGCGGCCTCTTGAATCGGCTGACCGCGCTGCGTGGAATGCAAAGCTCTGACAAGTCTGAGAGGCAGTTGTACGATGGCTACAGAGTATATGGACTGCGAACGTGGAAGCCGACTATGATAGGAAAATCTAGTTGACTTTTCCGAGATAGGTAGATACTGGACTCAGGAACTCAAGGCTTTGAAGTGTGTCCGTCTACATAGAAACCAACATAGCCCTTGTCAGGCAATCAGATTCCCTCAACGCGTGAGATAAGTTTCGAGTCAAGAAGGCCTTGAATCACAACAATCATGACCTGACACAGGTCACCTAAAGCCACTCTCAGCAGCTTCAATGTGTCATCTCCTTCCGTTACTCTCCTCCCCTCTTCTCATGTCCAAGTCCCTCACAAATCCGAAAGGGCGTCATGAAACCACCAACCTGTTTTTCTGTACTTCCTACAAGTCTAGACCCGCCCCGCCAACTCCACCAGAAGAACGGCCCTTCGACCCCTGCAACGCTTGCCTGAATACGCTAACCATTTGGCTAACGCATGAAGCATTGTCAAAGCGCGAGCTGTGGGTCTGATTTTCCTGCCTCATAGCTGCTTTAGGGGCACCTACAAGATCACCGAGCTCCGAGAGCACGCTTTCTCGCGGCCTGATGCGAGGGCTGGAAATGCTACATCTGATCATGGAACGTCGAAGCCGATGTCGGTTGATGTTTGATGGATTGCAGCCCTCGTTCCAACGTCTTAGTGCTCTTGGCCTGTTATCCTTGGGATCTATACGGAGTAGTGCCACTGGAGCTGGGCCATAGCCCTCAGTGAGAGACAGACACAGACCTCAGGCAAATAAGACACCCGGACTTTTCACAGACTTATCATTCTATTTCCCCCATTCGCCTTAGTCATCTATTACAATAAGGATAGCATTTTGTTTGCTTTTCCCGCAGAAAGCAGCCGTGCTTCTCTTGTAAGCGGACATCGTTCGCTCTTCAGGACCATGGTGCTGGTACAGAAGCTTGCAGGCTACCCTCGCCTGATCTTGGCCGGAAACCCTTCGAAGATTGACATAGGCCTGCTACTATCAGGCATAGTGTGCGCAATTGCATCCGGAGTGCCATTTCCATTGATTGGAATCATCTTTGGTCAGCTAATCAACGACTTCAATACCGCAACATGTGATCAGTCCGATACACCTGGCTCGGCATCTCAACTCCAGCATGGGATCAACGACAAGATACTTACGATATTCTATCTGGCAATTGCACAGTTTATCACAATAGGTGCCCATCTCTTCTGTTTCAGTACCTTCGGAGCTCGGCTGGCCCAACGATTACGGGAGCGCTATTTGCAAAATCTCCTTCGACAGGAACCTTCATACTTCGACAATCTGCCTCCCGGAGAAGTCGCATCTCGACTCAGCGCCGATATACAAACAATTCGCTCGGGAACGTCCGAGAAAGTTGGGATATGTCTCGCCAGTGTCTCCTTTTTCGTGACGGCGTACATCGTCGCTTTCATCAAGGATCATGACCTGGCTGCCATGTTGGTCTCGCTCATACCAGCTTACTTCTTGATGTCGTTCGTCGGAAGCCACTACATTGAGAAATACGCGGGCCTCATGTCGGACTACGCTGCATCTGCAGCATCCATTGCGTCTGAGGCCCTCTCCAACCTCACTGTTGTCCAAGCTTTCGGTGCGAATAAGCGACTGGAAGAGAAATTCTCTGATGCTCTCCAGTCGTCAGAACGAGAGGGGCTGAAGAAATCTCTGGCGATCGGCATCCAGTCTGGGGTTTTGTACTTTGTGGCCTATTCTGCGAATGCACTGGCGTTCTGGCAAGGGAGCAAGAGCATTGCAGATTTTGCCGACCACCACTCCAATGGCGCCACTGTTGGCTCTACATTTACGGTCATCTTCATACTGGTTGAAGGTCAGTAGCACTTGGACGGTGCACGGTAGAATTTAAGCTGACACGAGTCGATAGCTACGTTGCTACTTAGCCAGGTGGCACCCTTTGTTCACCTTTTTATGGCTGCTGTTGCTTCGTTCGAGAAGCTCCGTACAGATATGGAACGCGAACCATCGATCGACGGCACTTCAACCTTGGGCCTTACACTATCTAATGTGGCGGGGAACTTTGAGTTCAAAGACGTATCCTTCACTTATCCATCTCGGCCCGAAATCACTGTCCTCGACCGAATCCACATTTCTATACCTGCGCTGAAGCACACGGCCATTGTCGGTCTTTCTGGCAGTGGCAAGTCCACAATCGCAAGTCTAGCAACGCGCCTCTTTGATCCCACCCATGGGGAGATATTCTTGGACGGAAACAACATCAAGAACCTGAACATACGCAGCATGAGAAGCTTCATAAGCCTAGTCCAGCAGGAGCCATCTCTGCTTGATAGGTCAATCCTGGAGAACATTGCGCATGGATTAGTCAACTCAAGCAATCCGGAGCATGCGCATTTAAAGACAATCCTCCTCGGCTCTGAACTTGCTGATCTCGCGACTGAAGTGAGGGAAGGGAAAGATCTCTCGACTGCTGCAAAGAATCGAGGGCCAGGAATGGTCGAACTAGTCACTTTGATTCGGAAGGCTGCTACTCTTGCAGATGCAGACCAATTTATTGAAAAGCTACAATATGGGTATGCTACTCTTGTCGGTTCGAGTGGACGTCTTATCAGCGGTGGCCAGAAGCAAAGAGTGGCTTTAGCAAGGGCTCTGGTAAAAGATCCTGTGGTTCTAATTCTCGACGAAGCCACTGCCGCTTTGGATTCACGGAGCGAACGGAGGATCCAAGAGGCCATTGCCAAAATTGCAGGAGGAAGGACAGTGCTGACCATAGCACATCGCTTGTCCACGATCATCGGCGCAGATAACATCATTGTCTTGCACAAAGGACGCGTGGTAGAAGAAGGAAGTCATTCAGTCTTGATGGCTAAAGAGGGCGCTTATGCCGACTTGGTCAAACTGCAATCTCTGGCAACTTCGGATGATAGCAGCAAACCTGCTACAGGAAGAGACGCTACAAGCGACTCAGATGGCCTGTCAGAGATTGACGATGAAACATATCTCACGAAGGGCAGCGCGAATGAGAGCGTGAAAGAGGAAGTATCTCGACTCTCGGAGAGCCAAGATGCTGAAGTCCCGTCCTCAGAGGGACAGAGCGAGCCTGAGACTCCACCAATCTCTCTATGGGCATTGCTCAGGGGATATGCACCAGCTTTGAGGCCACACATTCTTATGCTGACCGCTGCGCTTATCGGTTCGACTATTGTTGGTGGAGCCTTCTCTGGCGAAGCCGTGATATTTGGAAACACGGTGGGGAGCCTCGATATCTGCAAGACCCCATCGAGCATCCGAGCAAGCGGTAACTTCTATGGACTCATGTTCTTTGTTCTCGCAATCATCGAACTGTTTGCCAATGTGGTCAGTTGGTCTGGCTTTGGCTGGATCTCTGAAAAGATCGTCTACTCGGCGCGAGTGCTTTCATTCCGATCGCTCTTTGAACAGGATATCCAGTGGCATCAATCCAGCGGGCGAACACCTGCGTTGCTTCTCTCATACATCACGAGAGATGGCAATGCCTTGGCTGGCCTGAGCGGCTCCATTATCGGAACCTTGCTTTCGATTACTATCAATCTCGTCGCGGCCATTGTTTTGACGCATATCATTGCATGGAAGATTGCTCTTGTCTGCCTAGCGTTGGTGCCTCTTCTACTCGGGGCCGGCCTGATGGAACTGAGAGTGCTGGGCAGTTTTGAAGAGCGCCACGAGAATGCGTACAGCAAGTCAGTCGACATTGGCACGGAAGCAATCTCATCCATCAAAACAGTCTCATCGCTCTCTCTGGAACAGGAGACGATCAATGTTTACCGGCGTTCACTCAAAGGCCCTCGCCAAGAGACCTTCAAAGTCACTCTACAGGCGAGCTTCTGGCAAGCCCTTACCTACTTCTTGGGTAATTGCGTTAATGCATTGGCATATTGGTGGGGATCGAAACAAATCATTGCAGGCAACTACACACAGACGCAATTTCTTATTGTGGTGTTTTCTCTCCTTGTTAGCGCAATGCTTTGGAGTCAGATGTTTGCTCTTGCCCCAGAGCTGTCAAGTGGTAGGGCTGCTATGGCGAGGATTCTGAGTCTCATTGAGCTGGGATCGGACAAACTGCAAGGCAATCTCCGTGGCCCGCATCCTAACAATGAAGCGTCGTCGGAGGAGGAGAAAGATCTCGAGGCGACGAGTGAGGCGAAGGGTTTGCGATCGGGTAGCAACCAAGCCTCAGCTGTGAGATTTTGCGACGTGCATTTCTCTTATCCCGCTCGGCCGAGTGTCAAGGTACTGAGCGGGTTGAACATGGAGATTCCTGCAGGCACTTTCGCTGCTCTGGTAGGACCCAGTGGCGCAGGCAAATCCACCATCATATCGCTGGTAGAACGTTTCTACACACCGCAGGTCGGCTCCGTCATCATCGACGGGATTGACGTGACGAAAAGCAGCGACGTATCTTTCCGAGACTCTATCGCCTTGGTGCCACAGGAGAATGTGCTCTTTGAGGGGACCATAGAGTTCAACATCAGTCTTGGAGCCAAGCCAGGACATGCCGTATCGTTGGAAGAGATTCAGGAGGCGTGCAAGCTCGCCAATATTCACGAGGTTATCCAAGGTCTACCAAACGGTTACCAGACGCTGTGCGGACCCAATGGGAATCAGTTCTCGGGTGGGCAGAAACAGAGGCTGTCAATTGCTAGGGCTCTGGTTCGGAAGCCCAAGCTTCTGATTCTGGACGAGCCGACGAGTGCTCTGGATGCTGAATCCGAAAGGCTGCTGCAAACTGGTCTGGAGAAAGCTTCGAAGGGTATCACGGTCATTGCCATCGCGCATCGCTTAAACACGATAAGAAAGGCAGATCGCATTTATCTTATTGAGGCGGGCCGGTGCGTTGAATCTGGCTCTCATGAGGAGCTGCTGAAGAGATCGCCAAGCTACAGGTTGAATGTAATGCATCAGACAGTTGCGGAGTAGTATAGAACTAGCTTACGGATGTAGGTATTTTACTTTGTAGAACCGTGTCACATCATACCTAAGAACATTAACGATATACGCATTGATATTTTCCCATGGTATTTTATTCCATTCTTCCCAAGTATCCGAGAACCCTCTCCACAAGAAACTTTCGTGGCTCAGCTTGATCATCATTACTCAACGCGTGAGATGCATTTGGAATCAGCCCACTGTGCTCTTCATCCCATTTTCCCACCATTTGGTTCTGATTAGTGGCGTTCTTCCACCTCGAGAGCAGTTTTTCTTTGTCAACCCAGTCAGGCACTGACTGGTCCGCTCCCGAGATCAAAACCATCAGCTTGTGTTTCAGTAGGCCTTGTTCCTTGATCATTCCAAACGTCTTTCCCAGCTGTTCGTCCGTCAGGTCAGAGCTGAATACATCGTCCTCGCTGGGTGACTCTGGACTTTCGGGGCTGGTAAGGCTGAGGAACCTTCGGCAACTGAGTGGTGTATTGGAGGGATAACCGATCTGCGAAGTCATCCATATGGGAAGCATAGAGTCGGAAGCCGGATCCTGAAGTGCGGCGTCCTTCGCCATGGTCTGCAGATTTTCATACACACTTCTTAGTTCCGCTCCTGATTTGCCCCCGAATCCGTGATGCAGGACCCATTGAATGGCTTCCCTGTCGGATACCGGTGCCTGCATAATGGCCCCATCAAGCGCCAGGCGCTCGACGTGCTCCAGCTCAGGGTCGAAGGGTGGCACAAAAACATGGGGATTCGGTTTGCTGAGGTAGTGCAAAACGCACTGGCTACCAGTTGAATGCCCCATGAGGATGAGTTTGCTATACCCATACTTGGCATTCTTGTAAGACTTGATATATCTTATGCATTGAGCAATCTCATCCGTGTCTCTGTCAAGGTGCCCAAGGCCCCATGCTTGATAGGAAGACGTGAGATTGAGTGTAAAAAATGACCATTCAGTTGGCTGAAGTGCTCGAACCAAGTCAGATGTATAAGACGTCGTGGCAAGACCATCCCCAAGGCCACCGACAAATAGAATACTGTGAGGCTGACGACTGCTGCTAGAGGTATATTCAAATGTTACCAGGGTCTCTGTCTATGCTCGTTACGTTTATTAGCCCGGAAAGCTATGGTAGGGACGCGATATGGAATACGTACGTAGTGATGTAGAATGCCGGAGTGCCCCCCCTTGGGCCAAAATTTGGAGTACATGTACATGACGGAAGGAATAGTTTGCCGAACACTCTGGTGCTATGGTAGAGTTTGCCTCGAAAGTCTGAGAATTTGGTTGCCCGAATTTGTACCCTCTCGCAGCCGACGAGTTCCTCGTAATTACGCAATCAGCACGGCTCCGAAATCGCTCCTCAGGTGCTGCCTACGAGAAGCTGTTCTTCGAGAAAATTTTTTGGCCAAGGTCTTGCATACATACAACGGATAGGATAACCGGGAAGCAATGTCTCCTTGGGAACTATTGAAGACCCGCCATCATCTGATAAGATGGCGCCTTTAAGGTACATACATATTGGCGGATCAGATTAGATTATTCCGCTCCACGCCAAGCCACGAGGCATGAAATTCCTGCCCCATTCTTCCCCAGTACCGCCCAACAGCTCTCAGTGATGTCCGGCCAGAGCCGGTAAAAAGGGCGAGTTTTTGTCGGTGGCCTCAAATCGCTACTAGCGGCGGCTGAGTTGGTGGATATCCCTGGACTGGAAGCTCGAGCCATTGTTGCAAGGCTACCTAGGGGCATACTGTGTACTAGTGTGCTTTGTGGATATACAGTACAGCATCGACTGTGTGGCGACGGGAGCCGCCTGGATGTACATATGTACTTCGTATTCGATCATCGTTCTTACGTACGGGATGTAACCCGGGGATCTCAGATGCTTTGTCAATGACTGGGTGTTTGAAGGAGCCACTTGACATGAATGCGTGATTTGCGGGCATGGACATGAGTCATAATGAAGGAAGAATGCGTGGAAAAGGCGAGTTGTAGAGAGTTTAGATTGCTTCTGTATTCTGCTGCCCTAACTTTGTGGGCGGAATATTGGATATCCATTCGTCTGCGTCTCCTTCATCTTGGGGACAGTATTGTTTCAACCCGTAACCTTGTAAAAGATCTGTCCATTGCCAATAGAGACGTCCCTTTGAAGTATTGCTCTCTCTAGTTTGCGGGACATTAGCAGGACTCTCGTTATATAGCGCATGCCTCGGACAAGCCTTGGTCCGACAAGACGTTATACAAAGGCTTTGCGACGAGTCTCAAACTTGTTTTGCCTGTCAAAAGAGCCTCTTATGAGCCGGAGACAGGAAATCCCCGGCAACTCTGTCAATTGATTCTCTTACCAGCTGCATGCGTCCACTAGGTATGAACGGAATACCTTCGATTCCAAGGGAGAGGTGGAGTCTAGGGGAGGTTTATCTCCCCGGACTACTCTCTGAGCCGCAGTCCACTCCGACTGGATTGAAGGATGAGATAATACTCTTATCATGGCTTATTGTCCTTCTGAGGGTGAAAGAAGACAGGCAAGCCAGCTACGACTGGATGTATCGGACACGAGAACCCGAGAACAAGCATCAATTATCTAGCGGATATCTGTCTACGAGCCAGGTGATTGGGAACTTGAAGAGCAATGTCAGGGAGGCTACCACAGCTGTCTCGACATACTTGAGCGGTATCACATCGAACTCTCAAGAAGGGCATGCAGGCTCCATTTCTCTCATCTTGAACACTGAATGCCAACCGAAAGATGCCGACGAGCGTGAAAGCCAGGTTCGCCCAATAAGCACATCCAACTGTTAGAATACCATGGTTGACCACAGAGTGAATAGAAGATCCCACATATCGAAGTCTACCTTGAGGACGGTCAGATGCAGATACGCCCTTTACACTTTCAGAGCAAGATTTCACAGTATTGGATTGCACAATACGTCCAGGCCCTGATTCATATTATGGAGCTGTGTATCTCAGACCCTGACGCAGCTATCGAAGACCTCCTCCGGCCCAACGTCCAAGATCTGAATCAGATCTGGAAGTGGAACCATGACCTGCCGCTCACATACGACTGCTGCATGCACGATATAATTTCTCAACGTGCCAATGAACACCCGGAGAAGACAGCCATTCAGTCCTGGGACGGTAGCTTGTCGTACCGTCAGGTTGATCGATACTCAACCTTCCTGGCCTCTTTACTAAGACAAAAGGGTGTCAAAACAGGTGAATTCTTGCCATTATGTTTCGAAAAGTCTCGGTGGACTGTGGTAGCAGTCCTCGCGGTGATGAAAGCAGGAGGGACGATGGTTATGATGGATCCAGCACTTCCTCTTGCCCGCCTGCAAAACATGGCAGAACAAGTTCATGCAAAGACGATGATTGCGTCACGCAGCCAATATGCCCTCAGCACAAACATCTTGCCAGACGGCGACCATATCATCTTGGAGGAGGATACATTTGCCCCCTTTCAAAGCTCACAAACTCTACCAGCCTTGCCGGCTGTACTACCTTCAACTCTAATGTACATCATCTTCACCTCTGGAAGCACCGGCACCCCAAAAGGCGTTCAGATATCGCACGGCAGCTATTCAAGCAGTGCTTTTCCCCGGGCCAAGGCGGTTGGCTATCATCAAGGTTCTAGAGTTCTTGATTTTGCGTCCTACGCCTTTGATGTCAGCATCGACAGCATGATTCTCACTCTGGCCAACAGTGGTTGCCTCTGCATCCCATCAGACGATGAGCGACTCAATGATATCAACACGGCGATGCGGCAAATGAAAGTCAACTATGCAGGTATCACTCCTTCCGTTGCCCGGATACTCGACCTGGAAGTTATTGCATCGCTTGAAGGCCTTGGGCTCGGAGGCGAAGCCGCCTCGGTGAGCGATGTCGCATTCTGGGGCCAGTACACCCGGATCATCATAGGATACGGCCCCTGCGAATGCACTATCGGCTGCACCGTGAACAGCAACGCAGCCAAAGATAGCGACTACATCACTATTGGGCCTGGCAATGGCGCAGCAATTTGGATTGTTGACCCTGATGATCACGAAGCCTTGTTGCCAGTGGGCGCAGTGGGTGAGTTGCTTGTTGAGGGCCCCATTGTCGGCCAAGGCTACCTGAATGATCCTGAAAAAACGGCCGTTGCGTTCATTCAAGACCCCTCGTGGCTCGTAGCGGGCCATGCTCAATACACCGGCCGCCGTGGTCGCTTATACAAGACTGGAGATCTCGGAAAATACGCTCCAGATGGCTCCGGCGAGGTCATCTTTGTGGGGAGGAAAGACACACAGGTCAAGTTGCGTGGGCAGCGAGTTGAGTTGGGGGAGATTGAGAGTCAGCTCAAGGCCAGGCTGCCTTCAGAGGCCGGTGTCATAGCTGAGGTCATCACGCCATCTGGATCTGGATCACAGCCGACTCTCATTGCATTCGTCTCAAGTCAAACTGGAAAAGCAATTGATGATCGACAGTTGGAGCTGGCTGAGCTTCCTAGAGAGCTCCGCGAAACCATGTCAAAAGCCGCCACTGACATTGCAAACGTCCTGCCCCGATACATGATCCCAACTACATACATCCCAGTCAATTATATCCCAACGTTGATATCGGGCAAAATTGATCGCAAGCGACTTAGAGAATTCGGCACCACCGTCGACCTGCGACGCCTTGAGAGACGCACCAAGAGCGCGGCCTCCAGAGCCTTCAACGACCTCGAGCAAAAGCTGCGACAAGCTTGGGCGTCTGTTCTGAAACTAGACCAAGATGATATTTCCTTGGAAGACAATTTCTTCGCATTGGGCGGTAACAGCTTGGCGGCGATGAGATTGGTGTCGTCGTGCAGGGATCAGGGGCTCGATCTCAGCGTCTCTGGCATGTTTGCCAATCCCATCCTCGAGGACATGGCGAGTGTCGTCTTTGCATGCGATCATGGTGCAACTGTAACAGTGCCCGCGTTCTCCATGATATCCCAACTTGCCAGTAGCGCTCGCAGGGAAGCGTCACTCGCGTGTGCCACCACAGAGGCAGCTGTTCAAGATATTTACCCCTCTACTCCCACTCAAGAGTCGTTGTTCACCTTTTCTCTCAAGTCAGCCAAACCTTATATAGCACAAAGGGTTGCGTGCATTCCATCCGACATAGCGCTGCATGATTGGAAGCAGGCATGGGAGTCAGTGGTCGAGGCAACTCCCATACTACGCACTCGCTTGGCCCAGCTGCAGGATCCGGGGCTGCAACAAGTTGTTCTTGAAGAGAACATAGTCTGGAATCACTCCACTGATCTCGCCCAATACCTTGAGGACGATCGGGCTCGGCGGATGGACCTGGGGCAGAGCTTAGCTCGATGGGCCATTGTACATAACGACGCGGACGGCAAGCGATATATGGTCTGGACGATCCATCACGTCCTCTATGATGGGTGGTCTGAGCCCATCATACTGGAAAAGGTCCGTGAAGTCTTACAACGTGGTAAGACAGCACCGAGTGAGCGGCCAGAGGCGCACATGCGGGACTTTGTCAAGTATGTGCGGGACACAGACCTTGCGACAATGCAGCAGTTTTGGCAACAGGAGCTTGACGGCGCCGTAGACGCCCAATTCCCAAGCTTACCCTCCAGAGACTTCCTACCAAATCCGGATACTGTCGTGGAGCGCCAAATACCCATCACGACAACCGCCGGGTTCCCGTTTACGTTGGCAACCGTGATTCGTGGCGCCTGGGCCCTGGTTGCATCTCAATACATGGCGAGCGATGACGTCGTATTTGGAGAAACGCTCACAGGTCGTGATATCTCGTTGCAGGGAGTGGAGGGGATCATTGGTCCACTGATTGCTACCGTGCCAATTCGCATACGTATCAACAGAGCGATATCTGTCAAAGACTACCTGAAGGCTGTGCAGCGTGCTATTCTCGGCCGCACTCCATATCAGCATATGGGCATGCAGCATATCAGAAGAGTCAGTCAAGATGCCCAGCACGCTTGCGAAGCGGGAACAGGGCTGGTTATCCAACCGCAGCCGGAGTACGACGGCACTGATCTCGGCTTTGATCAGGGAGATGTTGTTCGAGAAGCACTACATTTCAACCCGTATCCGCTGATGCTGGCGTGCGGTATGCATGCTCGTGGGTTTAGGGTGTGCGCAAGCTTCGACAGCAGCCTGATAGATATTGGCCATATGAAGCGGATACTTGCACAACTAGAGACAGCTTGTTCGCAGCTGATGAAAGATCTCAACGCGAGCGTCGGCAAAATCTCTTGTATCCCAGAAACCGAGCTGAGTCAAATCTGGCAGTTCAATCGAGACCCTCCAGTTTCCTTTGACGAGACATCAAAGAAACTACGAGCGGCTGCGGAAATACAGCCAGGTTCTATGTATCCTCCCTTTTTAGTCCCTTGGGTTTGCAAGCCGGGAAGCCCGTCTCTTTTAGCACCTATAGGATGTGCTGGTGAGCTTTGGGTTGAAGGCCCAATCTTCGCCTCCAGCGAAACCATTGAACCACCTGACTGGCTTTTGACCGGAAGCTCCGAAGTCATTGGCCGAGGAAGTCGACTGCAAGCGACAGGGGATATTGTCAAGCTGCAAGAAGATGGACAGCTGCTGTTCATAGGCCGAGCCGAAAACATTGCACCTGTCAATGGCCACTCAGTAGACGTTCATCGCTTCGAGGCTCATTTCGCTCATTTCCTACCGCAGTCAAGCCGTGCTGTTGCGGCTATATATCGTCCCGAAAATGAGCAGCCTGCACTGGAAAGGCTGGTTGTGTTAATTGAGCAACAGTGCTGGGACGGGCCTGGCGATGTTCTACTATCGGAAGACTACAAAATAAGTTGCACGGCTTCCGACACAGAGAACGCAGAGACATATATCTACGCATCGATTCCCAGCAGCTTGACAGAGTCGTTGAGGAGGCTCGACAAGTTCATTCGGAATTCCCTCCCATCTCATATGTTGCCTTTCGCTTACGTCGCCATCCACAGGATGCCCATGACGAAGGGACAAGTAGACCACCGGTTAGTCAACCAACTTGCCTCAAGGATTCCCGTAGCAGTGATGGCGCAGCTTCAGGAAAACCTTTCGAGGAAATGGGACCAAAGCCTAGTCCCAGCCAATCTGACACTCTCGGAAAACATCTTACGATCTGCCTGGGCGGCCGTGCTAGGTATTAGCATGGATCAAATTGATGTTGACGACAACTTCTTTCGACTTGGCGGAGACTCTGTGTCAGCTATGAAGCTCACGTCAAGTCTTCGGAGGCAAGGGCATGGTTTGAGTGTGGCGGCAATCTTCCAGAACATGCGGCTCGGTGATGCTGCCCGAGTCTTGAAGGTAAACCAACTGTCTGATCAGGAAGCAGAGCCTTACAGAGCGTTTGCAACTCTTGGCTCCATCGATGTTGATCTCTTTCTATCAGAGTTCATTCGTCCTAAGCTTTCCGATCCGCGTTGGGCTATCAAAGACGTGCTCATAGTCACAGACTCTCAAGCATTGGATATTAGGGCAACGATTCAGAAGCCACGCACGTCTATGCAATATACGATGCTCTATTTCGAACAGGCATCTGTCAACCAGTCTACACTAATACGCGCCTGCTCCGATCTCGTCGAATGTCATGACATTCTGCGCACAGTATTTGTTGAGCATAACACAACACTCTTCCAGGTGGTTCTCGACAAAGTATATGTCCCAGTGACTATACAGACGGCAGATACGTGCCTCGATGATTTCATCGCCAGCCTATGTACCGATGACGTTGAGTCTGAGTTCGAGCTCGGCTCTCTTTTCGTCAAGTTTTATTTTGTCCAAGGCAACAATGGCCAATGTTGTCTCGTCCTAGGGCTGTCGCACGCCCAATATGATGGAATTTCTCTGCCGCGGTTGCTCCAAGACCTCGAAACGCTCTATACTGGAGGGCAAGTTGGAAAATTCGAACCCTTCTCTGCCTATGTGGCCCAAACACAGAATGAGCGTAGGCAGAATAAGGCTCTGGATTACTGGGGTGACCTTCTGGACGGCTCGACCCTCTCTATCTTACCCGGCCAATCGGCCAATCTTCAAGACACGGCCGTGTTCCGATCGAAGCAAACCGAGGTCTCAAGTCCGCCTGAGGGCATTACAGCGGCTAGTGTGCTCACGGCTGCATTTGCCCTGGTAATTGCTCGCCGAACCCGCACGTTGGACGTTTCGTTTGGAGGAGTAACATCCGGCCGGGGCATCGACCTAGCCAACGTGGAGAACGTCGTCGGTCCCTGCTATCAGTTCACGCCCATTCGAATCGTTTTCCAGCCCCAGTGGTCTGCGATGGACCTCTTGCAGTCTGTCCAGAGGCAAAATGCTGAGTCCGCTGCTCACGACTTTGTTGGCTTCCAGCGAATCGCTCAAAAGTGTGCCGTATGGTCTTCAGGGGCGAGTTTCTTCGATTCCATCGTTCACCACCAAGATTTTGAAGATTTTGACCACATGCCTTTTGCCAACGGAACTTGTCGGGTTGAGATTCTCAATCCACATGGCGACGCCGCTTATCCTTTGAAGGCTGTCTCATTCTTCAGAGATGGAAAGCTCAATGTCGGGATCGTAGGAAACCAGGCAGATTTAGCCCTCGCTGACTCTTTGCTCGAGCAATTAGTTCTTGCGGTGGAAGAAGTTGTTAGACTGGCTACAGAGCAGGCCCTGCTTGAAGTATAATAGGAGAGTCTTGCTCCGGGCGTGCTCACGGACGCCCTCTGTAGTTCTGAAGCGGTTCAATACTACCTAACAATCGTGCATCACCCTAACCGTCATTCCGGAGGCCGTGCAAAGCACTGTCATACATTCCTCGGACCTGCAATTGCCCCTCTTGATCTACCACGGTCGCAAGTGCTAAGAATGTCAATTCTCCTCTCACAAGTCGCAGAGCTCGCAGTCCCATTTCCTTACAAAACATCATTCAAATTGCATCCCTGCGTAGCGCCTAACATAATTCCCAGCGCGCAATTTTTATTTGGTTGGTACTGCACTTCATGGGGCATACAGGTTTCGCAGCGTCTATCGCCATGGGGATTGAAGATACTGGAAACAAGCTTGCCGCATGTCTTTCTTACAGCTATAAGACATCGTGCCATATGAAAGTAATGGACGCTGAGGGGCAGAAGACGTACTATTCTGTGCGCCCAAGTGCTCCCAAGAGGACCGACCGTATGGGGAAGCAAGGTAGATATACGATACACACCATTTGCCGCCCCCATGGTGCCTGCTGTTATGGGTGCCTGGCAGCGCTTTATATTGGCTAGATACATCGAGATTGCAATGCCACAGACCATCTTGTGACCTCCTCGCGTTGCGGGCGGGGCAGTCGTTGGCTTTATCATATATGTAGATCGACTGAACCGCTGCCTAAGGTAGGTAGACAGAGTTGCATCTTGAACAGCCGTTTGAGCCGCCAGCTGCTCTTTTAGCTCGGTCTCGCACAATATCGATGCAGCCATTATGGATTGCCTAATACTTGATGCTACGTTGAGACGCTCTTCATGAATGGTGATGTTCACGTGCTATTTTTGCGAAATGTCGGGACAGACCGGGGATGTTGGAAGGGTGAGATAGGACTAACAATACTCACGATGCTACTTGGGATTATGTGAGTCCGCACAGGAAATTCTTTAGGTATTCAGTCGTTGGCTGGGCAGCCATTGCTACAGTGATCCAAACGGCAAAGGGGTGAAATGAGATCTCGGAGTTCTCAAAGGCTTTGTATGTACGTAAGATATATGAAAGGCATGTTGGTACACTACCTATTTAAAAACGACGAACATCGGGTAGATGGAACTTGAGTAACTAAAACAGTGGTATAGCGAAGAGCCTGGAAAATCTGTCAATCATTTTACCGATTCTCCAAGAGATGTTGGATGTTCAACAGTTGCCCATTTTGCCTTCAGCTGGAGATCTACGGCCTTGCGAAATGCACGTCACATATCCGATGGTCAACACTATCCAGTTTTGCCTTGCAGTCGCATTCTGCCATCTGTCGAAATGCACCGTGGTATCGCACGCAAGACGAAGTACTGCGCAAAGATTAACTGCAGGCTGGCAATCCATGCTTCATTTCGGCCTGACTGGTGCGACGGTGGCTTTGGTCGCCGATTACAATGTCCGTGAAGCTGCATGTGGGCACCTTTGATACGATCAAACGCGAGCCTCGCCTGGTATCGCTCACAATTATCGAATCAGAGCCATGCTTCAGAGGCCGCTGACATCGCTTTTAGGGCCTAGATCTTGCTTTTGGGCGCCAAGCTGCAACCTGAATCCTTCGCGGAATATCTCCATTTGAAAGGTATTGCACAGCATCCAGCGACGTGCTGCGAAGCCGCCCCCTCGTCAAGCCAGCCTGCATTTCTCAGACGTGTTGTATAATACATTATAAAAGGGCGAACCTCGAAAAAAACATAGTGATGCTGCAAACAGCAACTGCTTGCTTCAAGATACTGGTCCCGGCTACGAAGATCTCCCTGGACAAGCCACAGTGTTGCTACTGCACAATCTGTTTGGGAACTGGAAGATACAGCCGATAGTAAGCCTGTTGTGTCGAAGGTGTTTGCGCCGAGTACGCAGGCGGCAAATGAAGACGAAATGAACGAAGCGACAGTCGCAGTCACAGACGTGGAGATGAACCGCACGGCGAATCCACATCTGGTCAACGACATAATTACATCTTTTGCTTGGAGCAACCTCGAGGTGATTGTTCAAGATCGAAGTACAAGAGCGCCTTTGACGATACTCTCCAATGCAACAGGTAGGGTTTGTGCGGGAGAGATGCTCGCCATTCTGGGGCCTAGCGGTTCCGGCAAGACGACTCTCTTGAATGCACTCGCGCACAGGGCTGCAGCAGCAAACGCAGCAACTACTGGGAATATTTTAGTCAACGGGCATAAAGTATCTCTTCAGGAAACTCGTGATTTGTCAACCTATGTCGAGCAAGAAGATGCGTTGATCGGCAGCCTTACAGCCAGAGGAACCGTGTTGTTTGCGGCACGACTCTCGCTTTCACAGTTGGTATTCCCTAAATCGATGCTCACATCCGCTGCGGAGAGGCGCCTCCTAACACGCCGGAATTAAGTGCAAAGAGCAGAAGAGAAGTCTTCAGACGCGTTGATGACCTCCTAACCGCCTTTGGTCTACAAGCTCAGGCACATACTATTGTCGGCACACCTATCAAAAAGGGCCTGAGTGGTGGTCAAAAGAAGCGTCTCGGCGTTGCGAGCCGACTGGTGACAAACCCGAAGATCATCTTCCTGGATGAACCGACAAGCGGACTGGACTCTGCTCTCAGCCTTGAAGTGTGCACGTATCTCAAGGAGATTACACGCAAAAACGATGTATGCTTCATGCTCATTGACATTACGCAAGGAGATGCATGTTTCTAACCTCAGGCGATCTAACAAGTAGCTCATTACCATAGCGTCAATTCACCAACCGTCGTCTGCAACATTTCAACAATTTGACAAGCTTCACCTGCTATCTGGCGGAGAAACATGCTATTTTGGCCGCGTTACAGAGGCCACGGCATATTTCAGCAAGATCGGATACACGATCCCGGCTGAGACGAACTCGGCAGACTTCTTCATTGATCTCATCAACACTGACCTCGATAAGAATGGCGAGATTCGCCACCGCACGGTCCACATCTGCCAGGCTTGGAAGACATCGCTCGATAGCGGGAATCTCGATACATCCATCCAGAAGTCTATGGAGGGAACGCCTTCATATTCGAACCTCAAAACCCAGCGGACGCTCTCATTGCGCACTCCTGTGATACTTATCCATCGCTCTTGGATCAAATCTCACAGAGACGTCATGGCCTACGGTATTCGAATCGCCATGTACCTTGGATTGGCTATCCTTATGGGCACCGTCTTTTTGCGTCTCAAAACCGAGCAATCATACATACAGCCTCTGATCAATGCCATCTTCTTCGGCGGTGCCTTCATGTCGTTTATGGCGGTGGCATATGTGCCTGCATTCCTTGAAGATCTCAACACCTTCCGACAGGAGCGCGCAAATGGCCTGGTTACACCCCTTTCATTTGTCATAGCCAACTTCATCATTGGACTTCCCTTCCTCTTCGCCATTTCCCTACTGTTCTCGGTCATTACGTACTGGATGTCCAACTTTCGCCCTTCCGCATCTGCTTTCTTTACTTGGGTTCTCTGGCTCTTCTTGGATCTTGTTGCGGCTGAGTCTCTGGTGGTACTTGTATCCTCCATTTTCAGCATATTTGTTGTCGCATTGGCAACCACAGCCTTTGCAAATGGACTCTGGATGTGTGTCAACGGATTCTTGGTCCCAATGGGCATATTGAACCCCTTCTGGAAGTACGTCTTCCATTATATTGACTATCAAGCCTATGTGTTCCAAGGGATGATGGTCAATGAGTTTGGGCGTCGGAATTACTCTTGCGATGAGATTTCCGATGGACAGTATCAGTGTAATTACCCCAGCGATTTGAACTCCATAGGCAAGATTCGCGGCACCGACGTCTTGCGCCAATTCAGTCTCGGAACTGGGGAAGAAGGTACATGGATTGGCATTATGATTGGGATTATTGCTGGATATCGAGTTCTTGCTTATGTCGTGCTGGTATTGCGAGAATAAGACGATTGTTCCGAGAGTAAATCGTCTGAACGATGGTAACTTCGGCGGAGAGTCACAGTTTCATCACCGCCGTAACGTTATCAAATGATATCCTGAATCCCAATCTAATTTTCCCTTTGCTATGGTTTGCTCATACTGCAGTTTGCGCTTTAAGCAGATCCCTTCCATAATTCCTGCAGTGATGGAGGGCATATCGCCTCAAGAAACATACCGAGTGTCCGCAAGGCTTAACGGATCTTCAGTCTTCCCGCCTCGTCGCGATTCATAATCGAAAGCCTTTCAACGAACGCCTATCTTCCTGAGTGCCTAGTATCTTCTCTTGCATAGGGTACTTGCCACCACAAGGCCCTGTCTCTGTTAATAATTACCATGATTTAATTGCCGCGACTTATGTTATATCAGCCCGGTTGGAATTCTCCTCTTCCCCTTCGCGGAAGTGGGTGGCTCGGACTTTTGCTGCCATGAATACAATGAGCCAACTGGTAGCCCTGTACCATAATAGCAGTAGTAGTCAGTCCCTTTCGCAAAGAAGTGACTCTGACTTTCCATATGGGGTTAGCCACCAAATATGCATTGCCACGCAGGATCAAGCTCCAACATAGTTGAGGGGGGATCATAGCAGCAGGGATCGCTCCGTAGTCTCTATATGGCAGATGATTTATGGATGGGCTACTTCAAACACCTTGAGAGTGCATTCTCTGTTATTAGGGTAATTGTTATACTGGAGGATAGTGAACACGGGCCCATCCTAACTCTACACTTGTTCAGTCAAATGTTTAAGAGTCCAAGAGTTTCTTATGCTCGTTTTCTCGACCGCACTTCAAAGGCCGCCAATATCGACTGCTATTTAATATATGTCTTTTTAACTTGCAAAGCTTCTCTGAAGCGACACACGTGTTGAGGCCTGAACAACCCGAACTACCATCTCCTTTGCCGCTCATAGTCTAGGACAACCCTGGAGCCGCTCTAGCTATACCTATAAGCGGCGAGTTTAGCATTATTATCCCTTGTAACGACGCATTGATAACTGCCAATACTCCGTACGGTACCCCTTTCCATGCTGCCTATAGCCTGCTGACGCTTGACAATCACGCAGCAGTTGTTGATCTACTTCGAGGTAGGAGTTTATACACTGCTATGCCACGGAGTCTTACGCGTGAATTTATGCAATTAGAAGATTGAACGGAAACCCCAGGGGGTTTGGTATTTGTAGCCGTTGATAACGAAGCTAGCGTAGGAGCCTGCATGGTTTGTTTCTTCTCTGGGCAGGGCTGTGTATCCTGCTAGGCCGAGCCACACCACATGTTAGAAATAGGGGCATTAATATAAGAAGTACTAGTATAAGGGCTATAAGGGTTAACCTAGCTATTAAGCATAAGTAAAAGCTATACTCCTGTCTAGTTATAAGATATTAAGCAAGCTAATTAATATATATTTTAATAAGTTATAAGCCTAGCTTTTATTAAAAGCTGCTAAGTATTACTAAGTATTAATACCTTTAAAATTAGCTAATAATTAATTTTACTAAGCTGCTATATCTTAATTAAATACTAAAATAGCTAAGGAAATTTAATTAACTAATTAAGATTAAGTAAGGATTAATTATTAACTAAAATAGCTAAAATTACTATTATTAAATAACTTAATTACTAGCCTTACTTTTTATTAATATCTCTTCTTTAATAATTAAAATAACTAGGACTAGAAAGATAAAGATAAAAAGGCTTAAAGTAGTAAGACCTTTAAATAAATAAATAAAAATCTTAAAAATAATAAAATAATAAGTATTCTTTTATTATTAAATAATATAAATATTTATAATTATAAAGTATATATATTACTATAGCTAAATTATTAACTAGTTAAAAATATAGCTTAAAGATATATTAATCTTAAAAATAATATTACTATATATATAATAGCTAGTTTAAAAATTAAGCTTATAGCTATTAATACCTTAAGCTTATAGTTATTATTAACTTTAAAAAAATATAAAAACTATTTTATTTAAAAGTATTAGCTTAAGTTAATTATAAACTTTATAAAAGTAAAAGACTTATTAAGTATTTATAATATTAAAGATAAGATTTTAAAAAGTTAATTAAATATATAAAAAAGTAAGTAATATTAATATATTAATATACTTAAGACTATATTATTTATTTTATTAAGTAAGATAATAAGTAATAAAAAAACAGTTTAATATATATTTTAATATATAAAAAAGGAATTTTAAAAGTTAAGGCTTAAAGCCTTATAAATAGTATATAAAGAATAAGAAGATTATACTTTTATATTATTAAAGTTAGTTTAAGACTTTACTTAAAAAATTAAAATTATTTAAAAAAGATTTCTTTAAGCTAGAAGTTAATATAAGCTTTTTAATAGCTACTTAATCCTTAAGTTTATTAATAGCTTAAGTAATTAATACTTAGTTTAATATATTAACTTTTAAATAAACTATAATATAAATATATTTCTTATATTAAATAGTATTATTTAAAGTGCTAAGGCTAAAGAGGTTAAATAAAAAAGTAATATAATAATATAAGCGCTATTAGTATAAAAATAACCTATACTAATAAAAAATAAAGACTTAATAATAATAAAGATATTAAAATATATATATTATAATAAAATGCACTATATTAAAGATAGCTGCTAAGATTTATATTTAAATAAGTAAAAGAAATAAAAAGACTATAAATAATATAAGTTAAAAGATTATAAATAAAAGTAAAGATACTTTAGGTTTTAAAATCTTACTTAAATATCTTTAAATAAAGATAATTAAGCTTTATTTTTTATAATAATATTAAAAAATAAAAAATACTTTATTACTTTTTAAAAAATATAATATTATTATTATTTTATAGCTTAAAAAGCATTTAAATCTTTAATTTAAGGTATAAGTAATATACTATATATTATATTAAAGAATTTACCTTAAAATCCCTTTAATTTTATAACAGTATACTTAGTAATATAAAAAACTTTAAAATTACTATTAAAAAGGTTAAGATAGTTATTTAAAAGTATATTAATAAGAATTAATTTATTATAATTATATTTATAAAAGTTTTCCTTATGCCTGCTTTTAAATTAAATCTTATTTTTATAACTTAACTCCTTAATTAAAAAAGGGAAATGCAAGTTACTTAAAATAGCTAAATAATTTAAAAAAGTAATACTTAAATTATAATAAAATAATTTAAAAATCTATTTATTTTTTAAATTAACTTTTTACTTATATAACTGCTAGTCTTTTACTTTATATAAGTCTTTATCTTTTATATTATTAATCCTTAAATATAGCTTTAGTATAATAAAATAGGATATTTTAATAATAATAATCTTATTAAACTTAAGAATATAATAAATAGCATAAATACTACTTAAAAGTATTACCTTTATAAGCCTTATTTTTAAAAAAGAATAAAAGAAAAATTATATTAAGGCTAGCTATAATAAGGTAAATATATTAAAGATATAGTTTATATTAATATTTATAAACCTTTTTATATACTTAGCTATAAAAAGAAGAGATATTAAATAACTTTAGTTAATAGTTATAGTAAATTTAGTAATAATAAGGCTATTAAAAATAAGTAAAAAGTATAAGAATTTATATAGTACTTTATATAATTCTTAAAAAAAAAAAAGCTTTAAAATTAGCATTACTATATTATATATATAAATAGTATAAAAGAGTTTAATAATAGTAACTTTAATAAATAGGCAATATAATATAATATTATATTAAAAAGCTTTTTTATAAAGTAGTATTAATTTAATAAAGTTATAAAAAACTTTAATATTATAATATAAAATAAATTACTACTTATAATAATAAAAAGGAATATCTTAAAATAATACTAGTTAAAGATTTTAAAAACTATTAACTATTTATAAAATTATAGCCTTTATAAAGTATTAAATAAAATACTATTTAAATATATTTTTAAGTAATAGCTAAATATATTAAATATTAAGACTATAAGTATTATAGCTTAGCATTTTATTTCTTAAGCCTAATATAAGAAGCTTAATAATAAAGGTATTAAATATATTTTATTTAACTTTATAAAAAATACTATATATTACCTGCTTATATTAAAGGGGAGGGTAATAAATTCTTTAAATATATACTTTAAGTTAAATGCTTTATAACTAACTATAATTATATACTTTATTATAACTTAAATAAATATAAATCTCTTTACTTTTTTATTATTAATATAAAAAGAAAAATAATATTAAAAATTAAGCTTAGTTTAGTTTATTATTAAAATAGCTATAATATAGTTAGCTATTATAACTACTATTATATTTATAAACTTAAAATAAGTAAAGCTATTAAAAGAAGTTTTAAAATACTTTAAACTTTAATATTTAATATATAATTAAGTTTCTTTATATAATATACTAGCCTTTATAGCCTTAGCTAAATCTTATATTAATAATATTAAGCTAATAACTTATAAGGAAGTGTAATATAGCTTTTTTTTTAATAAGTAATATAAAGGGATATTAAAAGAAATATAAGCTTTAAAAAAAAATAAGACTTAAGATTTAGTTAATCTAGACCTTAGTATAAATATATTATAAAAAAGATAGGTTTATAAGCTAAAAAGAGGTTTTAATAATTAAGTTATTAAGTATAAAGCTTATTAAGTAGTTTAAAAATATAAGTAAATTATTAAAATTAATTATATAAAGACTTTTATATTAGTAATTAAACTTATAACTTATAAAGCACTATTTACTATTATAATAGCCTTAGATTTAAAAATAAAGTAAATAAATATTAAAATTATATTTTTTTATAATAAAATTAAGGAAAATATTTATATTAATTAACTTACTAGCTTTAAAAATAATATAAGTAAAGTTTATAAGCTATAAAAAGCATTATATAATCTTAAGCAGGCTTTATAAGTATAGTATAAGACTTTTATTAACTTTCTCTTAACTTTTAGCTTTTATATAGTTTTAGCTAATAGCAGGCTATATATAAAAAACAGTATTTTTATTATAATTTATATAAATAACTTACTTATTATTAATAAAAATAAGTTAAAGATAAGTAAACTTAAAAAAGCTCTTTATTAATAATTCTTTATAATAAATCTTAGCTTATATTATTATTACTTAGGGATTTAAATATAATATAATAAAATAAAAAGGATAATAGTCTTAAATTAATAAGGCTATATTTAAAAAATCCTTTACTAATATTATATAATAAACTATACTTTAATATTAATCTTAATAATAAAAAAATAGTTAGAAAAAGCTAGAAATAACTATATATACTAGCTTAATAAAAGAAAAGAGTATTAATTTATAATAGAATTATTAATATACTTAATATTAAGTATAAGACCTAACTTAGCTTATACTATATTTATTATTAATTACTATTTTAATAACTTTAATAATATATATAAGTAAGCTATTAAGTATATACTTAAGTATATTTAAAAAATAAAAGACCTTTACTTTATATTTTATAATAATTTATAACTATTTTATAACTATAATAACTTAAACTAGGCTAGTAACTTTAATACTTAAAGATTTACTTTAAGTTATATCTTTAATATTAAAAATAGTAAAATTAGCTAGTTTTTTAAGTAGTAAGTAATAACTGCTTTATTAAGCTATAAGGCTAAATATATAGCTTAAATAAATACTATTAAAAAGGTAATTTAGCTATAAAGACTTTTTATAAAATTATAAACTAACTTTTAAAAAGAATATATTATAAACTTATTATTAACTTTAGTAAAATCCTTATTTTTAAATACTATAATTATTTACTATAATAACTAAAGAGTAATTATATTAATAAAAAACTTAATAAACTATAAAGGATTAAAGTATATTAAGACTTAATAGCATTTTATTTATAAAAAGGTTAAAAGTAAAGAGATTAAGCTAGAATATATCTTTATAAATAAAATAATTATAAATAAGTTAACTAAGCCTTTAAAAAAAAACTACTTTTTAAAATTTTATAAAGCCTTAGGCTTAAAGAGGATTATTAAGGTAAAAAATGCTAATAAAAAGACCTTAAAGCTATAGCTATATATTAATAGTAAGATAAAGCTTTTTAAAGGGAAGTTAATAATATTAAATTAGTAAAAGTATATTCTAGGCCTTATATATAAACTACTTTATTATTAAGGATAGTAAAAGTAATAAGAGCTATAGTAGTAATAAAAGCTATACTTAATTTTCTTATATTACTAAGTAAGAGTATTAAAAATAAAGGCATTAATATAAAAAGTACTAGTATAAAGGCTATAAGGGTTAACCTAGCTATTAAGCATAAGTAAAAGCTATACTCCTGTTTAGTTATAAGATATTAAGCAAGCTAATTAATATATATTTTAATACTATAAACATCAGGGTTATTAGCAGAATATTAAGGCTTAGTACTTTCTAGACTTAGCGCTGAATCCTCTTAACAGGTGGTTACGAATTCCACTGCGTCACGATAGGTATCGAGGATTCAATGTTAAACGTTAACTCTTATTTCTATTGTAGGATTGATAATATGCCTATATAAGTCATTCGCATCAGCAACTTATTAAGGCCTATATCTCACCTAAGGTTCTTCAGCAACTAGACAGAGTATCGTCTTGCTTTCCTATCTCGACTCTTTTAGCTATGAGGTATTTGCATAACCTTCTAGCAGCTACAGCTGCGTCTCCTTTTCTCCTTTCTGTTATGGCACATACCTGTCCTCCCCTCGGTCAAGTTCTTCCGCCGCCAACAGCTCCTAGTGATTATCAAGGTCTCAGGAACGCAACGCAAAAGTTGGCTTCGACTCTTGACTCTCAATTCAGCTCCAATTTGAATTCCAGCGGCATCGCCATCCTGGTCAAGTCAATACATGAAGATGTGCCACTCTTTAGTCATTTTTACACGCCGACCATTCTATCTGGGATAGGTACAAAGAACATCGATGAGAAGACAATTTTCAGAGTCGGCAGTTTATCAAAGCTATTCCCTGCATTGGCAGCTCTACAGACTGATGGTATTCGCATGGACGATTCCGTTCTCAAGTATATCCCAGAGCTGCAAAACGCCCAGCAAACTAGCTTTGTGGAGTCAATCGCTTGGGATGATGTTACTATCGACTCGTTGATGACGCACCTGTCTGGTCTTGCGACTGATAGTAGGCTCATCCCTTCTTCTTTGTCCGATTTCCACATCTGAGTTACATGGCTGATCATTTTACATAGCGGCAATGGACTTGGGCATCTTCCCCATCGGACTATGGCAGCAAATCGGTTTACCAGCCATACCAAGAGGTAGTGGACCCAATTGCTCTGGGCTACCCGGCACTGCTCCTTGCACCAAAGACGACCTCATCGACGATTTGAAAGAGAGAGAACCTATATATCGGCCCTACACAACGCCTTCCTATTCCAATGTCGGTTTCGCCATTCTTGGAATGGTCATTGATGCTGCTATCAACGGCTCATACATAGACGCTATCCAAACTGGAATCTTTGATGCCGTTGGCATGAACAGCTCCTCGTTCAATGGGTTTGTCCAGTCTTTTCCAGAAATTGGCTTCGTCCCCGTCGGAGAGACGACTTGGAATGCTACCTTGGGTGTCTTCGAGAGGTAAGCGCAGCTGCTTCCTGCGACTTCCATGACATATTCTCAGAAAGAAATTATCACTAATTCGTCACTAGTGCTGGTGGCATGTTCTCAAGCACCTCAGATCTCATTGCCTTCGCCGACGGGATTCTCACTAACCGCTTCCTTAGCCCGCGTCTCACGCGTGAATGGATGAAGCCGCGAAGTCATACCTCGTCTTGGGGCTACTCAGTCGGCGCCCCTTGGGAGATCGTTCGCAGTGACCAACTTACGGCCGACGGCCGTATCGTCGACTTGTATACCAAAAGTGGCGATCTGGGCCTCTATCATGGCCTCCTAGGATTGATCCCCGATTTTGATTTGTCTCTTGCTGTTCTTACTGCCGGTGCTGAAGTAAGTGCAGAGACGACTGCCGAGATCTTCAGCACCGTCGTCGAAGGGTTGGTTCCTATGGTTGACGAGGCAGGACGAGCCGAGGCAGCAGCCACACCCTTGGTGGGTACATACTCTGATCTCGCGACAAACTCGAGCATTGTATTGAGCATCAATGCGGAAAATACGCTCATCATCGACAAATTCGTCGTCCGAGGTTTCGATGTGCTTCACCACCCCGACTTGTACAGTCTCGATGCTCTTTCGCTTGGTGAGGGATCTCTCCCTGAAAGCCTCTATGTGGATGCTCGGTTATATCCAACCAATCTTATTGGCCAAAGAAATAATGGCTTAAGGAAAAGATCATGGCGAGCAGTTTATGATACGAGGACTGCGAAAGAACAGTCCGCTCAAGACGCAAGGCTCGTAGCAAAACACGGTAGCTGTCAGTCCTGGTTTCAGTTGGATCGAGCCGCCTATGACTTCCACAGCATAGGCGACTTCATCTTCAGTTATGGGAAAGATAACGGCGTGACAGCTATCACAAATGCCGCCTTCAACATAACGCTTTCCAAAGGCTGTTAGTTGCCTAGTAGCGTGCGCAAGCCCCTTTCGAGCAGCATGCTTCCATTCACTCAAATCATCGCGACTCACAATCGGATAGAACTACCGATTCATTTCTTTTTACTTTCTCAAACAGTACAGACTTCATTTGCTACTAGCCATATTGATTATTTCCAAGGAAAATAAAATTGCTTGACTTTGTCACGCCCCTCCTGTTGCGAGTGCAATCTACCTAAGATGTGGTGATAATCAGTGGCAGTCACGAGGAGTAATGCATACCTAGATTCTATATGATCATAAGCCAAGCGAACCATGTCACAATTGCGTGAAAATCATGCGCGACGTGGCTTCAACAGGCTCCTACACTCTCAGAGACTTTATCATAAAATTGCTTAACTGTATGTTGCAAAAAGCAAAGAGGGCAGCTGACTAGGTGTCCAATACTTGCTCAGCCGCGTAATAATCCATACAACAAGGTACTGTAGAACCCACAGGTACCTATGGTGCAGAATGGAACTGCATGTCTCCTTGATGAGCCATTCCAATGAAGGTATAACCCAAACATTCTTTCTACGTAGCTATGGCCTACGATATACTGCCTCATGCAGGTGTGCCAGCCACAGTGCAGCGAATTGTTCTCGCTCTTCGCTCGCTTTTCTTCACTACGTGAACTCGGGCGGCGATTGAAAGACTCCAAATCTGCACTAAGCTCCCTCCATTAACGGCGGAACGCTTAATAAGAAGAATTCAGTTTGGGAAAGGCACAATTACTATTTATAATGTAGATCCTTTATCAGGTACATCAGTATCACCCTCACAGTGTTGTTGCTCCGAGGGGTGGCAGTCGGATATAGATTAGTCGAGCAACGCCGCTTGTCCGCTTGCCCAAAAAAGTAAATGAGGGAAGATACCGTTCATCGGCTTCATAGCAACAAACAGAAGGCCGATGAATGCACATAGGTATATAGACATCAGGGATTATGTGCTGTATAAGTATTCTGCTGTGACTTGCAAAAGCTGTTCCGAGAACCATATGGGCATTGCGGCCAGAGATTATCAAGATGGATTATGTTTCCAAGAGCCCATTGGAATAATCTTCCTCCTCTCTTGTACGTCTTAGACTCAATATGCTCATTCGGTTGGTATTTATCTTTGTCGAAGACTCTGTTGCGATAACTGCACAAGACGTCTCCCACTTTCCTCCCATCATGACCAACGGCTTTAAAACGCTGCCATCGTCGGTGCAGCTGGAAAAGTCAGTTATACTACATCGGTAGTACTGCACAAGGCCGGTCAAAGCAATTTTGCGAAGCGTGTCGAAAGCGCCTCGTCTCAGGGAGATTGGCTGTGAGGTTGCTGTGGCTGATGTACTCGATTATAAAGCGCTTGCTCAGACAATTGGAGATGCAGCTGCCGTCCAAGTCATCCTCCCTCCGTCCCCTTAAGCTGATGACCCTGCAGAAGAGATGCGCCAAGGAATTGAGAGCATCGCAAGGGCCCTCGAGCAGACGCGGCCGACGTGTATACTACTGTAGCCGTATCTGGTTATGGCGCTCACATCCCTCATGATAGATATTAGCATGCTCCACCTTGTGCCGTATATTCGAGGAGCGGCTCAGCAAACTCCAAGCTCACAAGGTGCTTCTACGATCGGCTGAGCACATACAAGGATGGAGTCGTGCTATTTCTAAAGCTCTAAAGTTGGGCAGACTTGCAAGCTTTCAAGATCCTCTGGACATGCCTTTTTCGACGGTTTTCGCCCCTGGTGTTGGCGTGGTCGCCGCTGACATCTTCCTGCGACCAGCCAGCGGGGTGGATGTGAAAAATGTCCACGTTGAGAGGGAGCGTCGATACAGCGCCAGCGATGGGGCGAAGGCCCTGGGGGAAATATTGCGCCTAATAATCACGGCGCAGGCGGTGCTGCGCTCACAATGGAAGACAGCTTTCGAGAGCCTTATGAGCGCAAGCCTCGCTGAACTTCTCATCAAGGCTGATGACGCCCAAAACAAAGGCGGCTTGGTTGACGTCGAGCCAAATGCAAATGAAGTTCGCTATGGGACGACGGAATTACCTCAGGCACTGCGTCCGCTGATTCAGCCTCAGTAACATGAGAGGCCAGGACGTACTTTGCACGTAGACAGCGGAGCTGGCGAAGGCTTCTCGGTTCTGGCTCGTGGAAATAGGTATCATAATTCTGGTACTCGGCGTGAAGCGTTCGCATAAAGCGTTTATCAACCATCAATGCCAATCAGCTGCAGTTTCATCATTATCTTCGAACACGGGCGCAGAATAAATTAGCGATATAATAAATCACATCTTGAAGTATTTACCTCCCAGCTGCGATTCCTTTAGGCTTGGTGTAACTGTTTTAGAGTATAAAGACGATGAATCACCTAGGTCTGGTAGGGTGTTGCTGATACTTTTGACAGGGCTCTGGGATTGCAATGTTCCACGTATTATACAGATCATCATATGTAAGTCGGTCACCTATATAGGCGGATTCACATCGTCACGAAAGATATCAAATTCGACCCTCTGTCACGTGCAATCCACCGTTGAGCTATAACATTCCATCCTCTTCAATGTCAAATAACCGGACTCTCGAGCGGCTTTGGAGCGGACACCAGGCGGGACAAGAGCGGATTGTGGGGTGGCATTATACCTACTCGTCCAAGCCGGCGTAGGTAATAAAGGAGGTTTCGTATTACGTTACTCAAGGACGGATTAAATCAAATTGAAACCTCACCGCACACCACGTTGATATGGAAAAAAAAAAAAAGGGGGGAAAAAAAAAAACACTCGTTCAGGAGACATATATGCGTAAGCCAGATGATAGGGGTGAATTTGAACTTGTTATAATTGTTATGGCTCAGAAGGATACAATGTGTCAATATACATGGAGCATCACTACCATGGTTGGATAATGCCGTCTCTGGCGATAACAGTCCCAACATCGCCATCTCGTTCGCCTTCAATGACGCATTTAATAAATTCTCCACCCAAAGAAGGAGACTGGGCTCCACGCTGCTTCAATAGCTCCGGATCTCCCACCATGCTCGTCGCCAAGAGTCCAGGGGCAATTCCGCAAGTCCTGACTCCGTCTTGCTTGAGAGTAAAGTGCCAGATAAGCATAAGCATATTGAGGGCGGCTTTGCTGCACCTATAAGCTTGCGCGGTTGCCAAATTCTTCTTCGGCCAACCAAGATCGACATCGTCCACCGGAAACAGGCTCTTCCTAAATCCTCCCATGGTCGACAGGCCTGACGTGAGAAATAATATGCGAGGTGATGATGATTTCAAAAGCAGAGGTGCAAAGACATAAGTCATCATATGAGTCCCAGAAACGTTGACGTTGTATGTGGTGTTGAACACAGAGCCGGCATTAGTAGCATCCGTTGGGATAACAACGTCGAAAGCAACCCCTACAATTTCGAGTTGTAGATTATGTGCCAAGTAGCAGTAACAGACTTTAGAGGCTTGGGTCCCTTACCAGCATTATTCACGAGGACGTCCACTCTGCCCCATGTAACGGTAATTATGTTTGCTAGGCGCTGAATAGACTCGTCGTCGGTAATATCAACTTGTACGCCCTCTACGGAGCTTTGCGTAGATGGGGAAGTTTCGAGTAGCTTCGCAATGGCATCAGCTGCCTTGGCAGTAGACCGGCTTCCTAGAAGTATGTGATATTGTTTATCAGATTGAAGCAATGCCTTAGCAGTCTCCCACCCGATCCCCGTGTTAGCGCCAGTGATAAGGATAATATCTTTCGACATCTCGAAGGGCGAGCAACCAGTATGGGAAAAATCTGGTGCTCAATGATAACCATAGTTGCTCGTAGGAAACTTTGATGTCTTATATTGCTTTAGAAAACAGTCCTTTCTCTGCAGAAGCTGGGCTTCCATAATCTTTGCTCCACGCTGGATAAAGAAGACATACGATGGTACAGTTTGCAGATCTCGGAATACCAGGATGTTTGGGCAGCTGTTGCGGAGAAGGAATAAGGAGGCTCTGATACCTCCGCGGCGAAGACTATGAACAATGGAACCGTTGTGCTCGGATATGGTATTGCCGAGGAGTACGATTGTGTCCTCGGCTTAGAATGGGTACATCAAAAAGGGACATACGGAGTTAATGACCTTCGTAAGTCCATGAACATGAGTAGATTCCGAAATATACTCATGAAAGGTGTTATAGCGCCATGGTAATCCCGTGAAAGTAACTTGCTGCGCTAGGTGTATTCACGGATTCACGCGTAGCAGCTGTTCAAGAAAGAAGCGCGCCGCTCCCTTTGAGTTGTAGATATAAGTACGGCCCTTTTCCACAATTGCCTCGACATTCAAAGCCATATTTACACGTTAAAGCCTTGTTCACCTGGGAGGTAGATAATCTTTACCGGCAATCTACGACAAACTGTGAACTGGAACCGACACAAGCCAATGCTTTGAACCCTAACTCCATTGAAGCTTCTTTTGTCATGGCCTTACAAAGCGAATATCAGAGCCTCAATCCGGCGACTGGGGAGCATATCGAGACCTTCCCGGAGCTGACAGACGAAGAATTGCGCTCTGCTCTCTCAGTTGCACACGACTGCTTCACCAACCACTGGCGCTCAACCCCAATGTCCGAGCGAGCCAAATTGATCAGGGATGTCGCTAAGCTCTTGCAAGATCGCAGCGAGGAGCTTGCGCAGCTCATCACTCTAGAAGTCGGAAAGCTCATTGCTGAGTCTCGTTTCGAAGTCCAATTTTGCATTGCCACCTTCGAATACTTTGCAGTCAACGCAGAAAAACTCTTGCAGCCCATCACTGTTGCCTCTGATCCGGGTTCTGAGATCTGGACAGAGCCGCTGGGCGTCATCCTCGCCATTGAACCCTGGAACTTTCCTCTTCTTCAGCTGTCTCGGGTTGCGGCGCCACACATAATGGCCGGGAACGTCTTGATGGCAAAGCCTGCACCCACAGTGCCGCAGACCTCTCTGGCCTTTGCAAAACTATTCAGCGATGCTGGCGTCCCTAAGGGGGTATATACAAACATATTTGCCACTGTTCCTCAGATTCATTATCTGGTTGAAGACTTTCGCGTCCGAGGCGTCACTTTGACTGGAAGCGAGCGGGCTGGCGCTGCAGTTGCCGAGAATGCCGGTCGCCATCTGAAAAAGACCGTTCTAGAGTTGGGAGGCTCGGATCCCCTGATCGTTCTCCCAGATTCTTCAATCGAAGACGCAGTCAGCGTGGCCGTGGCTGGCCGTATGTTCAATACCGGCCAAGGATGCGCTGCATCAAAGCGCGTCATTGTCGTCGGCAGAGACCGTGAGAGAGAGGTCATTGAGGGTATGAGGAAGGCCATGGCAGAGCTAAAGCCAGGCGATCCTTTGGATCCAAAGACTACTCTGGGTGCAATTTTTTCTAAACGCGGCCTGGATGGGTTGTTGGCCCAGATCGAACGTGCCAAGGCAGCTGGTGCTACCATTGTTCTTGGGGGGAAACGTTTTGAGTGCTCCGGGTTTTACCTTGAGCCAACGATCATGACGAACATTAGCCCTGGGAATCCCATTGCTCAGGAGGAGACCTTTGGGCCGATTGCTGCTATATACGGCGTCGACACAGAGGAGGAAGCCATTCAGCTAGCAAACAATACTGCATTTGGACTCGGCGCGAGCATTATCGGAACAAGCGTCTCTCATGCAAAGAAGATAGCTGCACAGCTTGAAGCTGGCATGGTGTTCATTAACGGGCCTGCTTACTCAAGTCCCGATCTCCCATTTGGAGGCATCAAGAATTCTGGGTTTGGAAGAGAACTCTCCGAGATCGGCTTCAGCGAGTTTACAAATAAGAAGCTTGTCAGGGTAGCGTCCTCGACTTGAACATAACGGCCAATTGGTATACATTTAGTTATCAATAACTAATGATGTATTCGTCGACGTGATACTATTATCAGCTGGGCATGTTACTTGCATTGAATAGGAGCGTTATGAACCATGAGTTCTTGTGACAGGGTATGTCTTTCCTTCAAAATGTCGCGTGCTTCGTTGCTCCATCAACATCCGCCCAGAGGCGTTGCCTCCCGTTCAGTGGATGTTTGTATTTCATGTTGCAGCAAATCTGCTCTTTCTTCTCAGAGTCGCGCCGTAAAAGTACAGCACAAATATCCCTATCACGCCACCACAGCTTAGCCCAGCTAACAGGCTCACTCCTTTGCCAACACCCAGGTTGATAAACAAGGGACGTGAGAAGTGAATCGCGCCACATCCTATACTGCTTCGGACGAAATCGTTTGCAGCGAACAAGCTGGCGCTATATACGGGATAGCTGATTGCGATATATATGAAGATGACCTGGAAGATGGTGAAAATTCCCACCACAAAAATCGTAATGCCAATGGTGGGGACGATCCAAGGAATGTTTGGGCTAGAATTTCCTGTCCAGCCAAATATAAAGAGCCCGATGGGTACGAGGAAACTCGTGGGGAGGCCGCAAACAAGACGGCGCTCAGGCTCACCCAGCCCCCGGGTCTTGATCTCCGGCTCGAAAACGAATCGGAGATATGCGACGTAAAAGACGATGGCGATGGAAACGCCGACACTGATAGAGAGAAATATCAGGCCAACCTCGCCCGCATTCATTCCGTAACCATCGGTTGGCGAAGCGCGGCCAGGAAGTCCAGTGGAATACACGAATGGAAAGACTTCGAAGAATGAGTAGAATATGCCATACATGAGACCAATGTACAAGCTTGTGAAGAGAACTGAGGGGTCGAACAGGTTGATTTGGAGGGGGCGCCAAAGGTTCTGCACCACAACTTCGTTAACTGTGAGCCGAGCTTGTTCCATTTCTGATTGAGACTGCAGATTGTTATTCCTGGTGACCCGGCGGAGACGCCGAGCGCGCCGTAGCAAGATGTTCGGCGTGGACGTCTCTGGAAGGAAGAAGAACATGAAGACAAACACGGGGCTTGCGAGCCAAAGGATTTCCCAGAGCGACCAGTGCCAATTCGTAGCTGGAACTGAGAAACCAGACAGAATGGGCCCGATGGCTGGACCGGCAGTGGCGAATGCAGCCCAGCCTGTAAGCGCATACGGCAGCTTCACGAGGTTGTAGAGATCACCAAGAGACGCGCCACCAGTTGCCAGACAAGGAGAACCGAAGAAACCCTGTAAGAAGCGCAAGACGATCAAGGCCGGAAAATTGTTGACGGCGGCCGTTCCGGCTGAGATGGCAACAAAAATGCCAAAGGTGACGATATATGGCGGATTGCGGCCAATCAAGGGAATCTCGGAGAGAGGTGAAAACACCAGAGGTCCGATGCCATATCCAAGCACATAGAGAGAAAGCCCAAGAGATGCAACTTCTGGTTTGACGCCAAATCTAGCTTCAATGAATGGCTGAGACGGCGTTATGATAGCAGACCCGATATAGACGGCGAGGGTGTAGAGGTATATCTGGAGGACAACAAAGACTTTCTTCCTCGACGACCAGTTCTGTGGGTTATCCGTATCGTCGGTTGAATACCAGTCAACCAGGATGATGCCATTATCCAATTTCTTTGGATGTATTGTAGAATGCTGCGACCGCACGTTTGATTGAATTGTCGCCGCGGTATACTCCTGCTGAAGGGCGGCTAACGATCCCACTCGGGACATCTGAGGTCGTGAGGTAATTTTGGAAAGTGCTTCATCGTCTAGATGATTCCCCTCTGACAATTGTGAGAAGGAATCGGTAGAAGGCTGGTCAATGAATTGACGGTGTCTATCGTCACTGTCCTCTTGGACAAAAGTGTTCACTCCGACGTCAGGAGGAGTTGTTGTGCCCGCCGAATGGCCATTGATGAAGTCCAGATAATGGAACGATGGTTGCTCTTCGGGATACCTGAGATATTTCCGTTTCGTTATCCATCGAATTATCGCTCCAAATGCAGTATCCCGAAGTAAATCAGCCATGTCGCATATTATCAGGGGTGCAGTGTCTCCTGTATATTCTGGTAGCTAATCCCATTGCAAGATCTGCCGGTAGCTTACTCTTTTGACGAGAGCGTAGATGATGTCCTTTGGAAGGTCTTCCAGGTATTTCGTAATAATTCGGGAGGCAACGACGTGATTATAAAGAATGAACTATTGGTAGTCTGAAGTTTATTTTGCAGACTCCCTCTCAGCTCGGGCGGCAGATGCTTCCCATCTCCATCTAGCGTTGCATAGCATTCTCGGTAGACGAATCATAGCTCTCAAGTCTGTCATCCCTTGAGCCTTGTGGCTAAGGGCTAGTCACGCCGCCGTTAGAATGCCAGAGACGAACCCATGGTCGTAGTTTCAGAGTGTGTCAATTATGCTACTTCGTATCTGAGATTGACACAAGTCCAACGAGAACATCTGCAATCAGTCCGGTAAATCTATTAATGCCTAGACAGTTGCAAATCAAAGGCCAAAACAGCAGTCGGCGTAAATGTGTTCAATGAGTCTCCTCGAGATGCCGCTTAATGATAAGAGAAAACATGCGTCGAGATTTGTTGCCCGTTTTCGTCGTATCGCTTCGGAATGACATTAAGCACACCGTCAATATCTCTCGGCTCGTAGTCAAGCATGAGAGCAGCCTGAACAAGAACACCCATCCCATAGTTCTCCTTCAGCCAGTAGGAAAACATATCCATGCCAGCAATGGCACCAGATCCCGTCCAGATATTCCCGTCAACCACCCATTTCTTATCCACAGTCCATTTGACGTTTGGGTATCGCTTCTTGGCGTATTCGAACTCGATGTTGTTAACCGTGGCGTTTTTTCCATCAAGGACACCTGCTGCAGCGGCGACGGAAGCACCGGTGCAATTTGTAAATAGCAGCTTCCCAGCAGCGACGTGACGGCGGATCAAGTCGGCGAATTTCGGGTGGAGTTCGAAGCCAATTGGATTAGGCCCACCAAGCAACAGAATATCCAGATCAGGACATTCGTCAACGGTAGTCGTAGGCACAATGCTCATCGAGCAAGTAAGCTGCACCGGATCTCGAGTGATGCCGATGTGGTGAAAGTCGAATTGCGGGGCACGATCAATGGTGGCTTGGTCGATAGGACTGAGGTACCGCATCGCTTCCATCAGTTCTTTGGAGGCACATGTAAGAAGGTCAGTTGGGCCAACCACATCGAGCACTTGATACTCGAAAGCCAGGACACCGAACTGAATGCGTGCCATGATCAAGGTATTTGAGCGAGGTAAAGACTTGGCTCGAGCTAAGCAGGTATTTGGATGGGTGTTTTGACAGTGAATGAAACGGATCCTTCACCCGATATATATAGCTGGGCTCATCTCTACGTAGAAGGCATAATGGATTCCCTTTTCTTGGTGTCCTGTTTATCGGCATGGGCCGAATCCGAGATCTCTCGGTTTTGTTAATGCCCCTGCAACAGTAAATGCCCGTGAATGTAGCAGGGCGATACTCGTAATCGTCAAGTCTGTACTGTGTACTTTCTCACAGATTTGCTCTTAGCTTCTTTATCAAGGGCTTATCCGAAGCAGGTCGGTAGCCACAAGAAGTCTTCGTCGTCCAAGTTGCACGGACCACATACCGTGCCTGTCCATTTATCCGACCGCCATCGGCTGCTTCAGTTACATCGGGTGGGGCCGTGCCGCTCGTGTAGGCGTACTCGTCCTACACGCCGAGATTCCTTGGGAATTCACCTAAGATACGTATCGAGAAGGTGTTCGGAGTATAGGTGGTACGTAGCATCAAGCGAAGACTAAATGCACGGCCATATTCTAGCCCACCGTAACTGCGGCGAGCAAGATGCCATGTCGACCTGAGGTAGAAGAGTGGCTAGCGAGTGCCACTTCGATGAGTAATCCACCGATTGTAATGCTCATACACTGTCTGTCCTACCTCATGTTGAAAGAGTCTGTGCAAAATCTTGCTGCAAACATCACTGGCATTGACTTGATTTTGAAGGGGTTTCCTTCTTCGTTTATTTTTCTTTTTTTTCAATCAACAAGCGACGCCGAGACGCCGCCACAACGATGGAGCCACTGTTACTTGACTAAGATCCAAATCCGCATCTATCACTGTGGTAATGCGCCATACGTCCATCCCGCCGTCGTTCCCCAGAGATCCTGGAATATCTCATCGCCACCGTCGCCCAAAACACCCGCCAAGTCTGCCGGCAGGTCAACCGCAGACAAGCTGCTATCCATTGTCGACTGCCAAAGCTCCAGCTGTGCATCCATGCTCCCATCTAGCATGGGGCAGCCAAGGCTCAGCTTTCGAGGGGCAATTTCTTGTCTATGGTCCATGAGGTAAAGCCGTTGGTTATACTTGTCTCTCACAACACTGAGGATAGCGCGCATTGCGGAGAGAACATTGACTGCCTGATTTGCAATCTTTGTGCCTTTTTCCTCGCATATTGTTTCCAAGATTGCGTCAAGCTGCAGCCGCGAGCGGGCCCAGGAGATATCGAACTCGGGGCATTCGGGTGTTGCGAGCGTGAGGCGAATGGCTAGGATTATACTAGAGATGAATCTGCACCAGTCGGCAGTGGAGAACTTTGCCATGATTGTTTCATCAAGGCCAGTAACATAGGTAAGCAACTGACGTACGGTGTCTACGCTGGTGTACAGCTGAGAACTTTCCGGGGGCAGTGGCGGCCGTCCTTTGGTTAGGTGTAGAGGGAGGCGAGTCAACCTAAAGAGAGCGCCAGCTTGAAGGCACAAATGTACAAACAAGCTCTGCATATAGATGACGGCTTTAAGAATGTCAGTTTCACGTACATCCTGCTAACTGGGATGAACAGGGGGCTTTGATCATGAATGGAAACGCCAAGACTTACGGGTGGAAGCAATGTGCGGAGGTATGCATGACTCTATATTATGAAGCTGCGCTTTAAGACCCAGCAAAATGAGCTGACTCTGCTGATGCGTCTGATCGCCGCCATCGTTGATTGTGCGAAGCGCTTCAGCACCCGTACTGGATAGTCGCACAAGGGATGCCAGCACAGCATCGTTCTCAGCACCGCTGCATTCAAGCATCTTGCAGCAATCTTCCGTCCACTTGGAGAATACTCGGGGAGCCTGGCCGCGACTTTGCCACTCCCGTGGAATCCTAGGTTGTGTCAAAAGAAAGTGTTGGTATCTCTGGGGAGGAGGGTTTCGGGGGCGACTGACGTAGAGGCGAGGTAGAAACAGCCCAGATACGAACGGATTCTGTCGAGCTGTTCTGTAGTCACTGGTGCGCCGTGATGGTACAGTCCAGCTTGTGTCTCGCGGTCCAGCCCCATGTCATGGATAACTTCCGTTGCCATGCAAAGATAGCGGAACGGCTGTTTGTTTCTCGGTCGGATATGGAACGGATACCTGATATCATCGTCTTGTGAGTATCGATGCGCCAGCAGGCAACGAGTATGCTTACCAGGCGCAGTAAATCAAGATGCCCTGGAGGATTTCCAACGATCTTTCTCCACAGGCAACAAACTTCAGCCCGAGAATTCTCCTGAACTCTTCATCATACAGGCTATTGCCCTGTATACTCCGCGACCCAGACGCTGCAGCGAGGATAGCCAGCAAGACAAAAGGCCTTGATGCTGCGAGGAGGGAGACGGATGCATCAGGATCCAGCCTAATGCAGGGAAAGTGACTCAGCATTGAGTGAAACGAGGCTAGAAGGGATTCAGCAGAGGCAAGGTTAAAGGAAGGCTTCGCCTGGAAGTCCGAGTGGTGGTAAGTGTCTGTTGTTGATTCGGGAGTAGAGTCCAGGCTATGCACAGCGTTGTCGGGCTGAGATGGGCCGGAGCCGTCTACAGGAGGGACGAGATTGTCGAAAAAGTTGGCGTGGGCGTCACGCAGAGACTCGATATTTTTGTCCACTTCTACCTTCAAAGGTATGTTGAAATCAATGGTGAAGCTTTTAGACGGTCCAGCAGAAAGTTGAGGATTTGCCTCAACAGCCGATCCCTCCTCGAAGCTAAACATCATTTAGCTGTGTATTCCGATGATCGTAGAAAAAGTCCATGCAGAAGGGTAAAGGCGCGGCTTGACTTGACTTACACCAGGCGCCGAACTCGAGGCCTCGCCCTCACAATGCACTCTCGGTTCGAAGCGAGGCATCTTGGTCGAGGCTGGTCAGTACCCGATTGGAGACGCAAGGAGGGTTAAGTTGAGGGCAGCTCTAGGAGGGCATGTATCATACTTGCGGCAGACGCCAGGCTTGTCGCTTGGTCGACATCGAATCTTGTTATCGCGGCAAGCCTCACAAGCCGCCAGAATTCTTTTCCTGGGCAGGTTGTCGCCGCTGGCTTGTAGCGCGGCGTCAGCCATTTCCGCTCCACGAAATGAGCTCTGGGTTTGATGAATTAGATCAACCGAACAGCGCGTGGAACATTGAAGACATCTGGACTGTGAGAGGGATAGTAAAGTGCTGGTATGACGCGGAAAGTGTAGGGAGTGATCTCGTCAGTGTCATCAAAGGCTGACAGTTGAATGTGGGGTTTCAGGCTACATTCACGGCTACGTCTCCCGCTTTTACCTTCAATGTTCTGCTCCTGATTGGCTGCCTTCCTCTCCATCACGGATGCTTTTCTTACCTGTGCTGGCACAGTGCATCAAGGCTCAGATACTGCCAATTTCGGCACCTGATCTTTAGCCTTCGGCAGACAGCAAAGATCTTCTCAACTAATCCCTTACGCATTTCTGGTCGTATCCTTCTCCCAACTTGATCGACAAGTGCACGGTAGGATTGGATTGAGACTCAGAGACAGCACAATAGCTATTTCTCTTTGTCGACAGTAATGCACAAAATCTGCTGTGTTCTGCGTTAGAACATGGTGTGTCGCGAATCGCGTGATCTCTCACTCTAGCCGCCCACGATTAAATCTTCCCAGTAGCATTCAGTATCTTTTGATCTTAAAATGTTATAAAATGTTATAAAAAGGCTCCGTCGGAATCCTTATTATAGTGTGAGTGACGCAGCTATTCTCTCCTTTGCCAAGATTACTGGATTCTCCGGCGTCCCATGAACCCGTCACTTTAGGGTACGTTATCTGGTGCGGGAGCTCTCCGAATGACCGACATTGGATATATCGCGAGATTATAGACAGCACCACAGTGGTGTCTATCTGCCGGCATTGCGTGAACATAACCTAAATTTTACTATCAAATAGATGTAGAATAAGTGTGCGTTTATTAGCAACACCAGCGAGGGCCGTTGTAATAAACAGGCTAAACGAGGAAATTACGGGTTCCCTTACTGCAATAGGGCTGAAAAACAACGTTCACACAACTGTAACAGCCTTCACTATTAGGCATCAAACTTGCCAGCCTTAGTAGTGGCTACTTAACTGGCCGATTTGCTCACTAGTCCCCGACCTCCTCTTGACCTTCATGATAATGTCAGAGGCTCTGGGGATCAAGCTGTTGTGGACCTTCCACTCCCTCCTTGGGTCTGCCAGCTCAAACTCGAACAGAGTAATGAGCGTCGCCACCGTTTTGCTCACTTCCATCTTTCCAAGGTTCATACCGATGCACTTCCTTGAACCAGCCGAGAACGACAAGTCCATGTTGTTCAAGTGCTGTAGGCGGCTCTTGAACTCGTCGGCAGTCTCTCCGTCGGCTTGCAGCCAGCGCTCGGGGCGGAAGTCTTCGGCGTCGGCTCCCCAAACCTCCTTGTTTCTGTGCAGCACATACGCATTGAATCCGATCGCTGTCCCCGTCGGCACAAGCGACCCATCAGGAAGCTGCAGGCCACCGTTTGGAACGTACCGCTCTTGTGCAAAACAGTTGCCCGGCAGGTATCGAAAACACTCTCGACAGACAGCCTCCAGGTAGGGAAGCTGCCTGGACTCGGCATACGGCACAGGGAGCTGCGAAAACTTGGCAGCGACAATCTCGCTCCTTAGGCGGTCGTAGACGGCGGGGTGCTTAAGAGACAGGTAGAAGATGGAGCGCAAGCTTGCCGCTGTAGTGTCAGCGCCGGCGGCGACGTTGACAAGCATGTAGGACAGAATGCGATAAATGTCGACGACTTCGGGATTCTGCTGCTGGGCTTCTAGATAGTGATCCAAGAAATCGGGCTTGGATTGATCGTGGCCGTCTTCACCCTTCATGCGCGCCATTAGATGTCCAAGACAGATACCTGTGACGGTTCCAAAAGATGGCGGGCCAATTCGCATAATTGGGTTCTTGTCGAGGAACTTATCAAGCACGGGGTTCATGCCGATTGTGACGAGGTAGTCGTAGGCTTTGTCGGACACACTTAGAGTGCCGTCAAAGTCATGGCCTTTCTCGATATATCCGACAGTTTGACTCCATGTAGTCTTGGCCACCACGTCCATTGCATCTGCAAAGTAAGCTTAATTCAATCAGGTCACGGCTGGGCAGCCTTACAGAATAACATCCACTCTGAGAAGTCAAAAGATGGTCCAAATATCTCGTCCCCAGCGAACCTTTGGTCGATCACCCCACACAGGGCGGCGAGCACAGCGTCGACATGAGGCTCAAGAGGCGCCACGCCAGCAGCGGAGAAATACCTTGCAATTGGCTTCTTTATGCGCGCATGTTCTTCTGGCCGAACTTCAGAAAAGATGTTGAAGTAGAGCTTGCCCTCGACCATTGCTCCAGAAACCCCGTGCCACTCAGTCTACGTGAAGACACATCAATTTGTCAGCCATATGCCTTTCTCCGCTACCATTTGCCGCTGAAGCTCCTCGTTGCCAATACTTACCTTTCTCCAAACCCCTTGAGTGTCGAAGCAGACTTTGATCAATGAAGAGTAATCGAGGTCGAGATAGTTTGGGCCCATTCGAACGATGGGCCCGTACTCGTCGTGGAGTTTCTTGCTGATCAGGTGCATATCTCCTCGATAGGCATGATACATTCGGTAGAGGTTGGTAAACGCTTGGTTATCCCAGATTGCTATTAATGGCTTCCCTATGCTGCAAGGGGAATTTTCCTCTCACTTACACGCAAGAACTGGTCCCGGATACTTTTTCAATGGTGAAGTCAAATACGCGACGACATGCCACAAGACAAATGTCGCCGTCGGAACAAGCACAAAGAGTACGAGTGGGCGCAGAAAAGTGCTCTCATCCACTTGCAGGATGTTTGTTGCCCATCTCGAATGCGGAACAGAGCTGTTGTCCATGCCGGCCGATTCCCACCGTAACTTGGGCTGTTTTCGAAGTGACAATGAAGTCAAACAACTCTGATGTGGTTCACTTTGGCACCACTTCTGAGAACAAGAATGAAAGGGTTACGATTTAGACTGAGTTTAGAAACTGTATGAAGAATTGCTTCTAGGCTCGCCTAAAGAGGGGCGGGACCGCCCAGACATGTGAGCTGTTCCCCTATCTCTAGGGCAAATTCCCATCTTCAGTGTGATTCCCAGTTTGCTGGCGAGTATGGGTGGAGACCAGTTGAGAGCAACGAGGTAGCAGCGCCAGGCATTTCGTACGACTAAGGCTTCCTTTGGGAATGGCTTCCTTACCCTTACTCGAGATCAAGAAAGACCACCAATCATGCTCTCCAGATACATACAAGCACTAGGTAGGAAAATGTGTTTTCTCATCAGAGGAGCGAACACTCGCCAACTGATCAAGCACGTCCCCACAACAGATGCAACCACCAACCAAGTAAGCATACGGAAAAAACTGGATTGGTCCCATGTTAGATCGTTTCATCTTGGAAAAAAAGGCAGCATCACCGTCGTACTCGTGTGGCTCACCCGTACAATTGGCACTCGTTCACTTTGAACGCCGATCTCATTACTAGATGGCAACAATTTGGCATTTTCCATGGGGTAAATGGTTCTTTTGCAAGGAGCTATTCTCCACAAACTTGTATCTAAAATTGTACAAGCTCTAGTGCAAAGAGTGGCAAGTGAAGATATTGCAAAGACTGAGCAACCCTGATGAGAAGCTTGAACATGATGAGCGAACATGCTCCTCGCTTGCCTACTTTGCTTGCCAGTCCGGTATACATGTGTCCTTATCTCTGTTCTAAGCGTATAACTAGGCAGGCAAATAGAGAGGTAAGCTACCCGGTTCCCATGCTTGCCTACGCTGCTCAGCTGGGAATTTGCTCCTGTCCCAGACAGCAAACCATCGACAACAGTAAGGGTACAGAAAATAATAGCCAATCCGAGCACTTTGTATATCAATGTTTCATTTAGAAGCGTAGATATATCCATCGTATCCCAAGGCAAAATATTCCCTAAGAAGTAGACCATTCTTCTCTGACTTCGGTCTGAATCGTCCGCACAGCGTCAACTGCAGACATGGCGGATCTGTACGTTCTTGAGTTCTACGGAGGAGCTCCCAAGATGCTAGCTTTACGGTGGTTAGTCTCCGCGCTGGCCCTGGCCTTCGTTTTGCTTCGTCTGTATATCCGTTTGAGAGTCCTCCGCCATTACGGATTAATAAATACCTCTACAACGCCTCCTTTATAAGTCAGCCTAGAGTTGTTGCGAACTTGTGTTGGAAGAACACGCTAAACAGTCTACTTTTCTCATATACGACATCAACATGGATGACAGTTGCGTCTGGGGTCCGGAGTTAATCGAAATATAAGAGATAACCCTTGCATAAAGGGTCCCATCAACGGGATGCAATCCCCTAACTAGAGTACTTTATAACTGTCATCAAACAAATCGTCGTCGTATTTGGAATGATCCTCTGCAAGGAGACTGTAGCTCTCGTCGTTCAACTCGTTTAGGAAAGACGCAGCCGCATCATTATCCGGATTTCGAATGGCTTTCTCGCCGCTGGCATCGTAACACCACTTTTCATACTGTGGATTTATGTCACCCAACCGCTTGCCTGTGAGAACGTCAAATCCCTCATGGGAAGCGCACTAACGACCCTGTCTCCATCTCAATATATGCCGGTGCCTGGTCCGTGACGTTGGACTTCTGGTATGCGGCTTTTGCCTGGTACCTACTGTGGAACGTCCAGATGCCGAAACGTGAGAAGCGAGTCATCGCAACGTCTCTAGGCCTCGGTACCATTGCCAGGGCTTGTTGCATTCACAGATCGCTGGCATCGAAGTACCTGGATAGCTCTAACCACATTGAAGGCATTGTCGGCATCCTCGTCTGGCACGCTACAGAGTTTTACTCGACTATGGTTTGTATCGGCATTCCGGTCTGCTGGCCCCTCTTGCGGAGACTGGACGCACACTTAGGAGACGTCAAGAGGAATTAAAAGCGCCGGAAGTGGCAGCGGATAGGTGAAGAACAAGAATTATCCAAGTGACAATCTGTTCCACATGCATGACATTGCTGGGGCTCCGTTTTACAGCAACTCTCTGAAGCCATTCAAGGACAGAGGCGTGGCGCTGAGAAGCGGCCACCTGAAGCAAAACGTTATTGCACCGACTGCAATTTGAAAATGAAGGTTACTAGGCTCACCATGCAACACTGTGTTTATATTGTTACGAGTCCATTCTCATCACGTCGCCCAGCGCTTTACTCTCCAGAGGTAGTCGCCTTTGCTCCACAGGCATCCTGTCCTTCATCAATCTACCTTATATCAAAGACGTCTAACATAGGCAACTGGACCTTCATAGCGTTGAGCGCCACGGATAAAGTAGTACGCCAAAGAGAACAAGGAGACTCCACCATAAATTACTATATTCCAATTCATCTGGGATGGCGTTGGGTTGGGATTACCCGGCATGAACGCCAAGACGAAGATGATGATAAGGAAGGCCTCAGATGCGATATTGATAAGAAGACCCCATTGACCAAGGCTGAATTTGGATCGTAGCAGGGGACTCTTTGTCCATCGACGCCATATCATACAGCCTGTCGAAACAATATAGCTGGAGAGCAGCGACGTGGTTGCTAATGAAGTAATCGAGTTCAGGGCAACAGCCGAGCCGATATTGATTAACGAAAGGAGGGTTGAAATCAGGAAGGTTGTCAAGATCGCATTGAATGGCACGTCCCATCCTGCTCTGATGCTGGAAAACCAGGGGCTGAACGGGACTGCATGATCTCGTGCAAAAGCGAAGAGCTGGCGCGACGCTGTGGCCACCATCGTAAGATTGGAGAAGAGCGACATCGCTACCACGAACACTGACATTGCGGTGGCACTGCTTGCTGACTTGGTCGTGTTATAGAAGACTTGCATAAAGGGATAACCAGTCGGAGATGTAATAACCTCCTCCAGGTCCCCTATGCAGAAGGCAAACGTGATTACCATGATCCATCCAAGCGCCCCGTTGAAGATAGTAGTCAAGATCATGGAGCGAGGCAGAGTACGACTAGCATCACGCAGCTCTTCGGACATGTGGACGGCAGCATCCGCTCCAAGCAGTGGCAGAATGCCTGCAAGGACTCCCACAAGAGTCGATCCTCCCAAGCTGCCCCAACCTCCGCCGTCGCTGAATTCTGTGAAGACAGCCCTAGCGTCTGCCGTTGGGGAAAGAATCCAGAGAGTGACGAGGATGCCGAAGAAGGCAAAGACGTGAATAACGAGAATCAGGGCCTCGATTAACGGTAGCTTCCTCGCAAGGACAGTGTTGAAAGACACCGAGAAGGCGGCAACAGCCACGGTTAGGAGCGTGCCGTGCCAGAGCTTAGGGACGTATTCGGGGTAGTTGAGAACGACAAGGCCTTGGATCTGAGTACCGGCAATGAATGCGGAAGAGGCACACGACGTCTGCCAGCCAAGCACACACATCCACCCCATCAGGTAGCTGATGAACTTTTGATGCTGCGGTGGCGCGAACTCGGATACCCAGTGGTATTGCCCTCCAGACGTGGGTGCCCTGGAAAGCGTCAATATTAGTGGCTTTTCCACGTATGCAAGGACAGGTTTGACGAAGACGGGGGGTCTGGGCCACTGCTTACATCGAAGCCATTTCCGCCATTGTCGTGTTCACCAAGAGGAACCCCATCCAGCAGATAAAGAACATCCAGATCAAGCCAGCGGTGCCGCCATTAATGAGCCCGATGGTAGCAACGCTTTGAGAAACGGTTCCAATTAGTCACCTCACAGTTATGATGCTCATGCGCTTCTGTCAGCACAACGTACCTCAAGGAAAACTCCCACGATGCCATGAGAATCATAGAGAAGCCAAATATGGTTAAGAACCGAAAGTTTCTCTGTGATACATTTTCTTAGCAAACTCTCACAAAACAAGGTGTCAGTGGCTGTCAGCACGAACTTTCATTTCCTGTACTTTTCCCATACGGTACATATCCGCGCGATCAGCTGCGTTTCCTCTCTCATCATCTCCATCGTTAATAAAGTCAATAGCGACACCGTCGATATTGTGAGCTTCTTTGCCGTCGGATGACATCGTGCGAAAAACTCCAATTACCTTTCGCAGCAGCAAGCTCCAAGAATCACACAACGAAGTGACAGGCAAAAAGAAGGAAGAAAAAGACAAGAGAAAGCCTTGCATTCGTCGCATGGGAAGAGGGATGTGCAAGGTTAACGTATGCGGCCGGATAAACGATGCGACGTAGCACGCAGACATTTCGGCTCAAGTTTCCAATCTTGGGCCTGTTCAGTGTGTTGGTCAGCTCCGGTCTAGCCCCTGCTGCTTTGTGAGCTCCAGTGTTTTGCAGGCGGTAACATGGTCTACATGGTTACAAGAATGCTCTCAAGCGCTGATATTTTCATAACATTTACCTCCACGGATAGATTGCTTACCAAGTAGATAGAGAGTATACGCCGCATCTTCTCGCCGATACTCACATGCCTTACTCAAGAGCATGTGTGTGGTACAAAGCTCCAATATAAGCGGCAGCCAGACTAGCATGAGACATGAGCATGCGTGTTGGTGCAAACCGTGACAATGGCGAATGGGGTACGCTGCCAAGGCCATTACCCCTTTTACGCCCTCATTTGAGGCTGAGAATCTGACCATTTGTATTTCTGTGGTAGCAGAACAGGCTGTTGGGTGACCAGCTCGTCAGATTCAAGAGATCGTACATGCCGTGTCGTTGAACCATGCTGAGACCGACATGTTCTCCTGCTAATCAGCATCACAGGACTAATCTCTGCATTTGTATCACTACTATGTAGCCAAGAGGATTTAATAGGACGTCGATCCCGTCTCAAAACGTCTGTTGCTACTATTGTTTGCGGTCTCTTATGCTGTCCAGTTGTCCTCTCTTACAAGTTGGACGCCCAGATTTCCCTTCGCCATGAGTCGAGAGTCACCAAATGACAATGCACCCCCTTTCTCAGGCCTTTCATTCAATGACCACGCAGGGCAGCTGTGGATTGTGACAATTCTTTCGCTGATCTACAGCTTGCTTAGTGCCATGGCGAGAGTCTATATCAAGCACCAGATGTTCGGCTTTGACGACCTTTTGCTTGGTTTAGCAACAGTACGAATGCCAACTTGCCTCGGACAAGTCCGATACGAATGCTGACTAGAGCTCAGATATTGCATGCGGCTCAGTCAACCGCCATTTTTGTTGGACTGAAGAGTGGCCTCGGCAAGTTTAACTCTATCACATCCCCAGAGCAATGGGTAGCATCTTCCAAAGTGAGCGTCTTGACACTGATATTGCTATCAGTATCTAACGTATCTATTTGCAGTCTACACTCGCAGCAATTGTTCTCTGTCTTTTGACTCTCAGCATGGCTAAATGCTCTGTCCTCGCCCTTATCCTGCGCATTATAGACTCGAAGTCTGGAAAAACTAGACCATTTTGCATCAGCGTCATGGTTCTCAGCGCAGCATGGGGTGCAGGCTCTTGCCTAGCAATGTTACTCAACTGCCAATCTGCTTCATTATTAACCATTGATAATATCAAGAAATGCCCCAGCCAGGTACGTGTGATTAAGTGTTCTTACTCTGTCATGGCTAACTAGAGCACCGCTCCCAGGTTACGCGATGGATTGTAATTACCGCTATTGATATTTTCACCGAGATTCTCACCTGGCTCCTCGTTGTGCAATTATCCTGGGTTGTACACATGTCACTCAACTACAAGCTTCAAGTTGCCATAGCCTTCTCTTTCCGCTTACCGCTTATCGCCCTCTCAGCCATTCATCTGGCGTTCTTTACAAGATACCCAGCCTCAACCGAGCCTCAATTTGCAGTCATCAGCAGCCTGCTCTTTCAACAGACCATGATTGCTTGGTCTCTCATTGCTGCTACTGTGCCAAATATGAAGAGCTTCTTGAAGTCCTTTTCTATGGGATTAGGAATCGCATGGGCCTTCGCGCCCAGCGAGTACGAATCCAGCAATGCGTACCCGCTTCAAACATTCCTCAGCAGTCGATCGAAACATACTCCATTCGGAGCTGAAGGAACATCCACTTCTGTCCGGGTCTACGACAAGCATGACGGAGAGTCCCGTGGTCGACCTCACAACTGGAGGCCGGATCGGACAACGAATCAAGCCACCAGAAAGGACCATGTTCACAGCGAGAGTGTCTGCGAAGGGGTGTCAGACGAAGAGGAAATCTCAAAATCTGATAGCCAAGAGTTAATTATCGTAAAGGAGGTGGCTTAGGAGGTTACGCATAAGGATCGCCAATCCACAAGTGCCAACTCTACATAAGTCAGCTCTGTCTGTCGGGAAAGAGCATCGATTGGGATCTCGCAGTAGGTGCGTAACTTCGTACATTAGATACGACATAGTAACTCAAATGTTTCAGCTTGTCTGAGCAGGGGAGAGCCGTCCTGGTTAATGCTGCTATCAAATACTACTATTAGCTGTTCTCGGCAGAGTCCTCGGAATACATCCGTGGCATGAGGGATTTAAGTCAAGCCACCAGCGGGAAGCTGAGTTGCATTAAGCATGGGACTGAAGGTGCCAATGCCTGAGCGTCGTATTGCAGAACATATAGACGAGGGTAAAGGTAACCCGGGCCAATCGGATTACTACCCAGATTGCCGATATTCGCGGCCGACTAACAACTTCATTCGAATTGGGTTATCCCACCGTTCGTAGCACAACCAACAGCAGAATACGACACGGCAAAGTCTCGCGGGAAACGAGATCCGAGAGGGAGCAAGAAAGCAAGACAGCGGGATCTGTATGTGGATTTGCGGTCGCCCACTATCTGAAAAGGAGCGAATTTAAATTTTTGCCGCACACCAAAATCAAGGTGCTCCCTAGACATCTGGAGGGTTCGTTGCGAAGAATTTTCCCACATCTGTAGCATGATTTAGCAATACGCCATTCTAACAGCATTCACTCAACTCATGAGCACTCCGCTTCTTTATGTCTTTTATAGTTTATCTTATTAAGCAAGGTTCTTGTCTCCTTTCAGACGCATCCGAGAACCTCCTCTCCTCGCTAATCTATCGCAGTACTCTGCCTGTTCTCATTCACTCGCCATTGGGAGACCATGGCTCAATGTGTACTGCGCTATGCGCGCTACTCAGAGTTGCCTGAGATTGCTCACGTTATGGCAAAGGCTTTCTGGGACGACAATCTGTTCGGTGATCTTATACATCCGCACCGGAATGAGTATCCAGACGATGTAGACTTGTATTGGTTGCGACGAGCACGCGTCAGCTTTTGGAACTCACGCTGTCGATTTATTGTCGCTGTCGCCAAAGATGAGACTGGCCATGAGACTATTGCTGGGATTGCTCAATGGGCAAGACTGGGAGATGGGGGCAAGAAGCTAGAGAGCTGGTACATGGCTCCTCGTGAGTATTATCCCGACTTCTCATTATCCTCCTCAATCCCCGCTAAAGCAGTTAACCCAGGCAGCCTGCTCAAGCCGTTGTCTTCTTTAATTATGACAGTTCACGCTTGGCTTTGGCCGAATCGTGCAAGTGATCCTATTACAGAGGACATTGTGGAACGTGCATACCCTTACTTTAGTTCCTTATGGACTGATCAGCGTGCTGAATCTTGGTTCCTCGACGTCCTGGCCGTACGACCAGACTGTCAAGGGAAAGGTGTTGGCCGCAAGCTTGTACAATGGGGACTTGATAACGCTGAGGGTGATGGTATTTGCGCTTCTGTGATTAGTGCGTTTGGTAAGGAGAAGTTTTATTGTAAATGCGGATTTAACGAGCAGTATGGCAGCGCAATGCAGGGAGACGGTAACCCTTTAGCAGGTATTAAGGGTGGGAATATATACTGGAAAGGTATAAGTAAAGAGATATAAAGTATAAATTAATAAAAGGGTATATATAAAAGAGAGAGTATATATAAAAGAGAGAGTATATATAAAAAAGAGAGTATATATAAAAGAGAGAGTATATATAAAAAAAAGAGTATATATAAAAGAGAGAGTATATATAAAAGAGAGAGTATATATAAAAAAAAGAGTATATATAAAAAGAGAGTATATATAAAAAAGAGAGTATATTAAAAAAAAAGTATATTTAGAAAAAAAAAGTATATTTAAAAAAAAAAGTATATTTAAAAAAAAGTATATTTAAAAAAGAGAATATATTTAAAAAAAAAAGTATTATAAGATAAAAACTTATTTTATAAGTTTAAGTTAGAAATTCTTTACTTAAATAAAGATTTCTTATTTATTAATTTTTTATAAAGCTAAATTCTTTATTTAAATAAAGATTTCTTATTTATTAATTTTTTATAATATTAAATTCTTTACTTAAATAAAGATTTTCTTATAAAGCTAAATTCTTTACTTATTTATTAATTTATATTAAGTGCTACTATAACTTAATAAAAAGAAGCAAGCTTATAAGCCTATATACTATATACTAGCTTATATAAATAAAGAGTATAGCTTAATATACTATAGCTTAATAAAGCAGTAATATTATTAAAAATACAGTACTGCTTTTACTTTTATAATAGTATAATAAGCAGTATAATATAAGTATAAGTAAGTAAGTATAGTAAGTAAGTAAGTATAATAAAAAAAAAAGAAGTATAGTAAGGGCAGTAAGTATAATAATAATAATAAGTAAGTATAATATATATAAGTAAGTAAGTAAGTATAAGAAAGTAAGATAATTATATTAAATAAATAATATAATTATTATTACTTTTAGTTTAGTATAAAAGATAAGAGATAAGGTATAAGGTAGATAATAAGCTTAATAATAAGTATATATTATAAAGAGTTATAAAAAAGCTAGTATAAAAGAAACTTAAACTTATATTAAGTAATTTCTTATTCTTTTATAAATAAATCCTTAGCTAAATAATTAAAGTAATATATATTTTTTATATTATTAAAAAGCTAAAAAAAAGCTTTATTTAATAGTATATAATATAAAATTATATAACTTATAGTTTACTTTAAAATTAATAAATTTATTTAAAATTAATACTTAATTTTAAAATTATATTTTTATATTAAGATTTTATTTTTCTTTTTATATAATCTTAATTAATTTAGGTTATTTAAAATTACCTTCTTAATTAAAACTAGTTTAATTTTAAATTAGCTAAATTATACTTATATTATTATACTTTATAAGTATATAATTATAATACCTTATAAGCATTTTATAGCTTTTTTTTAAATTTATTTAATTTACTATTTTTTATTAATTTAATAAGAGAGAGACCTTATTATATTAATTACTTACTTAAATAAGAAAGAGCTATTACTTAATTAAGTAATATAAATCTTAAATACTAGCTCTTAATTAGTTAAAAAAAGCTTAATCTTAAATTTTTATTTTTTAAGCTTAATTTTATAAAAGCTTATAATAGACTTATAATAGCTATTATACTTATTACTATAGTATAATTTTTATACTAAAATAAGCTTAAGAAGCTTATTCTTATATACCTCTTTTAAAAGTTATAAAGTAAAATAAGCTTTATAAGAATATATATATAAAAATTATAAAAAACTTATATTATTATATAAAAAACCTATAATTTTTATATAGGAATAATTTTAATAATATAAAAAAGATAGAAAATTTATAATTTTAATAAAGAAATATAAGAAGGCTTTTAATTAATTTATAAAAAGCTTTATTATTATATATATAAAGAGGAAAAGTATTATTAAAGCTAAAAAACCTCTTTTTTTTTTATAAATATCTTAATATATTATTTTAAATATTTTAAAAATAGCTAATCTTTAAAATAATTAAATTTAATATAAGTTAAGGGTTTAATAAAGAAATTTACTATATTATCTTATATTTTTATATAAAAAATATATAATTTATTATTTTTAATAGCTCTTTTAATAAAATAATAAGCTATTTTTATATATTTAAAATATTTATAAAATTTTAAATTTTCTACTAATTTAATAATAGCTTAATTATTTATTAATAAAAGTAAAATATTATTATTATAATTTATTTTTAAATTATTTAAATAATATATAAATAAATTATTTAAATAAATAGCTTTTTTAATAGCTTTTTTTAAAGCTATATATTTAAATTTATTATTATAACTTAATAATTATAGTTATAATAATAAGCTATTATTAATAAATAGCACTAAATAAATATTAAACTAACTAGCTAATTAAAAGCAGATTACTAAATCCTTTAATAATTTAAAAAATAAATTATCTCTTATATAAATAATTTAAGAATAGAATTATTAAATTATTAAATAATTTAATTAAAATAACTAAATATATAAGTTATATTTATATTACTTATTTAAATAGCTTAAATAGCTAGTTATTAATATAGTAATTAAATTAAAATTAGTTTATTATAATTTACTAGCTATATAACTATTTAAAAACTACTTAAAGATTTAACTTAACCTCTTTATTAATAAAAACCTAATAGCTTATTTATTAAAGCTATTTATTTAAATAGTTTCTTTTTTAAAAAGTATAACTTACTTAATAAGGTTAACTAGTTTATTATATATTAATAACTCTTATTTAAAAAGTTACTTTAAACCTTTAAGTAGTAATTTATAAAAAAGTATTATTTATATAAAAAAGTAATAATAATAAGTTAATATAATAACTTTAATAAATATAAACCTTAAGTAATAAAGCTAGGATAAAGCTAAAATAACTATAATATAATAACTTATAATACTTAAAAATATAATTATATAAATATAATAATAAAAAGCTATTAATTAAGCTAAGATTATAACTTTATATACTTAAATTTAATAATAATAATAAGTTTTTATTATATAACTTATACTAGTTTAATAATTAATTATAAATCCTCTAGCTTAAAATATTATTATATAAAAATAACTAAAAGAGATTTTATAAGGAGATATAAGTACTAAGGCTAGGTAATATATAAGCTATACTTTTTCTATTAAAATATATATATAAAATTTAAATAAATCTATTAGAAAATCTAGTATTTAAAACTTCTTTTTCTTTTTTTATAGCTTCTTTTTAAAATTAAATATAAATTTTTTTATTTTATAAAGAAAAGTAAAGCTAAAAGTCTTAGCTAATAAAAACCTTTTTAAGTTAAATAAGAAAAGTCTTAGCTAATAAAAACTCTTTATAATTAGCGCTTATATAACCTTAGTAATTTACTTATTAAATTAATACTTTTAGTATATATTATAATATTATAATACTTTTTTATCTTTTTTTATATTTACTTTATTAAAATAACCTTTTAAAGTAATAATCTTTAAAGGTTAAGCTATTTTTTATAGCTTTTAAAAATAATTATTTATTAATAATTATTTATAAAGGCTATATTTAATATTATATATAACTAAATATAAATAAAATAAGCCTTTTATATAAGTTTTAAGAATAGTTATTTAGTTAAAGATTATTTTTAAAAGCTATATTAAGTATTAAATACTTAATTTTAAGAATAGTTATTTAATTAAAGATTATTTTTAAAAGCTATAATAAATACTAAATACTTAGTTTTAAGAATAATTATTAATTAAATAGTCTTTTATATAAGCTATTTTATATTTATTTTTTAAAATACTAAATATTTTTTATTATATAAAAGTATAGTCTTAATTAAGTATTTATAATATTTATATAAAATTATATTATTAAGGTTACTTTTATAATCTTTTATTAGTATTTTTATCTTTTTTTACTTATTTTAAAATTAATATTATAATAAGCTATTTTTATTTACTTTTTTTATTAAAATAAGTATATTAACCTTACTTAGCTAATTTTAATATTATTAAAGAATAATATTTTATAAATTATTTAAGTAGTTTTTTATAGTTATTTTTAATGTTTTTTAAAACTTATTTATAAGATTTTTAAAAGGTTTATATTTTATTATTAAATACTTTTTATTATTATAAATAAAGGTCTTATTTTTTATTACTTTTTATATAAAGATATTATTAAAGGTTACTTTATAGTTAATAAGCTATAGCTAATATTTTAAAAATATAAAATATATAAAAAAAAAGAGAATTTATTTAATACTCTTCTCCTTAATATCTTATATTAATTCTTAATAATTAAAAAGTATATTATATTAAGAGGGATTAAATTTAAGAGTAAAATTAAGCTAATAATTAGTTAAATATAAAAGCAGAATACTTAAGATATTTTATTAAAAAAAAGGTAAGTTAAATAACCTTAACTTTTTAATTAGTTTTAGCTATTTAAATTATATTTTTATATTTATATTAAGAATTATTTTTAATTTATAAGTTAAATTACTTTACTTTTTAAAGTATAGTAATTATATATATTAATATAAGGTTAATTATTATAGTTATTATTAAAGCTATAAAAA